TCTTTTTTTCGGCGTGTGGGAGCAACAGCACGTTATCTGGAAGGGGAGAAATCCCAGCGGACGCTGAAAGGGCTCGCTTTTGGATGGGCTTGCTCTTGCTCCCTCACTTTCTCTGTTTTGTGTTTAAATTGAATATTCCGACGCGGAAAAGAGGTTGGCAGACCTCTCGGACAGTCCTTGGAACCGGTTTGACAAGAATAAGGTAAGCAGACACCTTTTTTAATATGTAAAGTCTGCATAATTGGATACTAGCTAAATTTTAGTCTGTTTTTGGGGTCTGTCAAACTCTCTAAATTGTATTTTGAGAAAGTCTCGGGGTTAAAGTCCCTTTGAGCCTCGGGGTTAAAGTCCCTTTGAGAAAGTCTCGGGGTTAAAGTCCCTTTGAGCCTCGGGGTTAAAGTCCCTTTGAGAAAGTCTCGGGGGTTAAAGTCCCTTTGAGCCTGGGGGTTAAAGTCCCTTTGAGAAAGTCTCGGGGTTAAAGTCCCTTTGAGAAAAGCCTCGGGGTTAAAGTCCCTTTGAGAAGAAGCTTCAGGGTTAAAGTCCCTTTGAGAGAAACCATGGTGAATTAAAAGTAATTATAAAAAGGGAAACGTTAAACACTAAAGAGTGCCTTTTGTTACTAGTGTGGAAAGTGATCACTTCTAGATTTGGATGACAAAAGTATAAAGAACAACATCAGTTATATTCGCTTAACAAAGTAATCTTGAAAGTTCTTCTTCTGTGTCTTTCTGCCTGTGTGTGCGCGTCTGTGTGAAAGGAACCCCCCCGCCCTCGCTGCTGCTGAGCTGCTGCTCTGATTTAAAGGGGAGCTACTGCTTTAGGATTTTTGGCTTTTCATAGTAGTTATTCCGTTAAATTTGCGAAATTTGCCATTGAACATTGTGTTAGACACAGTTAAACGTTTTTAAACACCATTAGGGAATAGAAGTTTTGAATTAGTATGTTTTTGAAACCCAAAGATTAGTACAAAAAGCTTTGCTTTTCTTTTTAAATCTGCTGCTTATTTTGTGAGTCCATTATTGTATCTGATATTTCATAGCTGTTAGTGAGAATTTTTTCATGTATTTTTTATTTTAGTTACAAAAGCCGTTTTTCAAACATTTAAATTAGAATCTGTTAAAAGTGATTAATGATTGTAGACTTCGTCTAAAAAAGAAAGAGAGAATTAGGCTGTAAAAGTATTATATTATTAAGTTAAACTACCCAATTCACCCAATTCACATTCAAGCGGTGACTTTTGTTTTTGTTTTGACTACACGCGTGACCTTGCTGCTGCTCAGAGACATGAGGAGGCAGCTCCGACGCACAATTGAGTTTTATTGAACCAAATCCAGTGTAGCTGGAGCTAAATCTTTTGTTTGATTTCAAGTTTTGTTTTAAATGTTTTTACAAATTAATGTTCATTTTTATAGAGATTTTTCATAATTTCATTTCATGGCGTCTTTCAAGAAACCCAAGGACGCATAGATAATTAATCACACAGTACAAAAGTATATAATACATGTTTTAAAGTTTAAAAGGTTGTTTGTTTTGAGTATAATTGTTGTTTTGATAACTTCTTTAGTTTCTGGTTTTAAAATGTCATCATTAGTAAGAGAATAAGTAATCTTTATTTACATAGCGCTTGGGAAAACCCAGAGCGCTCAAATTGTTTTGACTTCAGAGAGAAAAACAATCTCATTCGCATACTGATATCTATTGTTTTTTTAAATTGGCTGTTTCAAGGATTGTTTTTCAGACTCTGGCACACTGTGGGAGGGGTCACTGCTGGACACTGGACAGCGCAAAGCCCACCCAGCCACAGGTCACAGAGCTAAGAGCAAAGGGAAATGCCACCTCCTTGCCCCTCCCCCCACTACAGAAGTAAGTGGGAGAGAGACCGGGGCCATGAAAGAGAGGTATCTGGAGACGTGATGGGTGGAGCGTCAGGTAGAGACCTAGAGGGAGTTGAGAGTGTGTCCAGTTGGTTTACATCACCACAGTGTGACCTTTGAGACCTGCGGGTGGTTCGAGGAGTCTTGAGACACAACCCCAAAATTCACATAGACACACACACACATACACACTCATACACTCACACATTCACATTTACATATAGATACATGAAAAAGCAGAACATGAGAAAAAAGCATTTTAAAAGTTTACTCCAATGTAAACACATATTTTTAATTGTCTATCACTTGAATCTTTAGTTGAATCAGTATTTTTTGAGACCAGAAATGTTCATTTGAATTCTATATTGTCATGGACTTAATTGACCTCTGTCCTGACACTTTTGATTTGTTGATTTTGTACTGTGTGAAGTAATTACATTGATTAGAATTAGATCTGATAAAAACACAAATTAGAGAAGTAAACTAAATCATTGCACTTGCTTTTGTCTGAGAGACATTAGCAACAGCATGAATAGAAATTGTGTTAAAGTAGAATCAAAGTGACTTAACCATAGAAAGTAACTATTGCATTACAAGCTGTGTACAGGAACTGAGACACTGCACCATTGACCAGAAGTGCGTCGCAAATGACCTGATGTGCGACCCAAGTGAAAAGACTGTATCTGGAGATCCTGATGTGCATCTGGAGAGACAAAACCATGGCTTGGACCCTACTGATGTCCAAGATGACATCTCTCGAAATATGACCTGACCTGATGACGACTGAGACTCACCCTCAGGGGACCTGAGGACCTGAGGACCTGAGGATCTGAGAGAGAAAACTGGGGAGTGATGTTTATATTATTGAAATAATGCCATTGATGAGTGCTAAATGAGACAGATACTCATGATTCTTTCTTTTGTTTTTGTTTGTCCCTAGCTTCTGGACATCTGATGATCTATTGGACACAGCCATTTGCAGAACAAGAACCAGCCAATGAAAACGTCTATTGCTGATGCTATTGCTACAACCAGAACCTGTGACCAAATGCAATATAAATGTTAAGTATTCAGACATCTGACAGACAAAAACTTTGACTTTTTTAGTCTGGTAGACTGAGCAACTGTTAAAAACTTTGAAAATGATAAAGTATAAGTATTGTAGCGTTTTAGTAGATGTTAAATAGTAGTAAAAGAGTAGAATTTGACTTCCTTTGTTGTTCATAAACATATTTCCACGTAAGAGTTAAAATAGTACCCTACAATGTTATCCTTTTGATAGAGCAGCTAAAATATTAGAATCAGAGTTATGTTACAGCCATTAAAAGTGACAGAAGTCACAGATTAGAAATATGCCTTTGCTCAAGCTGCAGCCGAGCTTTGGAGTTAAAAAATAGAGGAAATATAGAATTAGATAAATGCATCAACCATAGATGCTTTCAAAAATAGAGATTATTTGTAGCCAGTGCTAATATCAAATGGTAAAGGGACCATTTCACAAGCATTTACTTCAAAAGTAGATAAAGTTACTTACAGTTTATGTACAGTTTTATTAGATACTTGCCAAATTCACTTGTGTTCACACATGAGTGAATGTTGACTATGCAAAAAGTCCATATGAGTGTAGCCTAGATTAATGCCTAGATCAATGAGATAGATTAGCACCAAGAGAGATTCAAAAGCATTTTGATGTATTTGGGTATAGCATAAAAACAATAGTAGATATTTGGATATCTTTGAGAAGTTTCCAGCACAAACACCATTGTAGAATAACTGACCCCAACCCCAAACCTAATTAGCTACTATTAGGATAATACTAATTTGATTAAAGATGTTCATTCATCCCAAATGCCTGACAATAATATCTTTAGATAATAAAAAGTAATAAATCACTGACCACTATAGAAGTGTAAATGTTGACCATTTGCCTTACTGTGTTCACAGTTTTATTCCTGAGAATGAGAATAGACATGGAGCAAAATCCCACTGATAATAAGCCACTGATAATGAGAGTGTAAAACTACAGAGAGATTTATTAGATTAAAATGTATGTTTAAGAATATGGCTCAATAGAAGCAAATATACAAACATATTTGTAAATAGATTAGAATAGTTTTAAACTATAGTGAATAGAGAGTAAAGTACACAGTCTAAGATTAAAAAGTGAAAATAATACAGTGAAATAAGTGAAGTGTAGTGTAAACAATTAGCATTAGAATGAAAGTATAGAGTAATAAAAGTGAAATTAGCTTCAAATTTAAGACTCAGCTCGTTTTTGTCTGTGTTTTGACTGAATCTGCTGAGTTCTACTGTGTCCAATAGTTTTTGTTTGTTTTTATTTTTGTTTGTTTTTATTTTTGATTTGTTTTTGTTTGTTTGTTGTTTTTTGTTTGTTTATTTACTTCATTTTTGTTTGTTTTGTTTTTTCCCAGGATAGAGGATAAAATCCACTGATATTGATTTGATGATTATGAGTTTAATGCATACATTTTCTTTGTTTTTAATAATTTTTTGAAGTTTTTTTTGGAATTTTTTTTTTCTTTTTCCATTTTATTGATTGATCGATTTGAGTGATCACATGTGATTATGTGATCAAAGGGGAGGGTATTAGTATTAGATAGCAATATGGCCTACGTGCAGGACTGTACAAGGACTCTACAAGGACTCCATGTTATGACTATGATGTGACTGTCTCTTTGTGACACGTATGTCTTTCGATGTGTGACGTGACAATGACTATATAAACTGTGTACTGCCTTTATTCTGTCTGAGGGAAAGAAACAGAGTAAACTAGTGGAACTTGAGAGAAACTTAAATAAACTTCCAGAGTTTGGCACACCACGATCCGTCTCTGTCTGCCTAAATCCTTACACAACTCTAACAGTTATGGAAGATTGTTACCTTCTAACAGTAACATCCTTGTTGTTAACGAAAAGAACTACTCCTAAGTATAGGATTGTTTTTTTTTTTATTAGTGCTTTTTGAAGGAATTGACACACACACACACACACACACACAGTATATCTAACTATTGGTAGTAGCAGCAAGACTTTCAAACATTGTGCAAATGGAACAATAAACCAGATACAAAATATACAGGAATAAACATAGTGGGTGTGTTTCTAGGTATGGTGAGTCTCTGGTCCCTGGCTGTCGTCGCGTTTGAGAGGTGGCTGGTGGTTTGCAAACCTGTGGGAAACTTCGTATTCACGTCGAGCCACGCCCTCGGCTGCTGTGCCATCACTTGGGTCTTTGCTCTGGCTGCTGCCATTCCCCCTTTAGTGGGATGGAGCAGGTTTGATATACTTGATATATTTTTGAAATCTTGTTGTGTTTTGAAATAAAATAGTTACCCATGAGGTGTTTGCAGGTACATCCCAGAGGGGCTGCAGTGTTCTTGTGGTCCTGACTGGTACACTACAAATAACAAGTACAACAACGAATCCTTCGTCATGTTCCTCTTCTGCTTCTGCTTCGCGGTCCCGTTTTGCACTATAGTATTTTGCTACTCACAGCTACTGTTCACACTGAAGTCGGTAAGAAATTGATTATAAGCATAAGTATTGAAACAATTGTTTTTGTTTATAACATAACACATTAAAGGGTTAGTATGTACATACAGTATTTCCCCCAGGGTTAACATAAACATCTTATTGGACCTTTTCTAAACTCAAGTTTAAAATGTAAAGTAGTTATTCTTGATTAAAAATACAATGGAAATAATGTCCATAGCATTTAGTATGTTCACCATCACGTTACGTTTGTGTGTTGGACCCGACATTATAATAGATCCATTGTCGGATCCCAAAGCAGAGATAGACAGAGCTGGATTTACCATCAAAGGTTTACTTTACAAAAAAAAAAAAAAACATCACTGAATGCAGGCAGTATTCAGGCTGGCTGGTCGGGAAAGATGGACCTTAACACAGGACACAAAAACTTTGAGCAAAAACATTCCATTCCATTCCATCTTCTTCCGCTTCATCCGTTGCTGGGTCGCGGGGGCAGCAGTCTAAGCAGAGACGCCCAGACTTCCCTATCCACACACACTTCCTCCAGCTCGTCTGGGGGGACCCCAAGGCGTTCCCAGGCCAGCTGAGAGACATAGTCCCTCCAGCGTATCCTGGGTCTTCCCCAGGGCCTCCTCCCGGTGGGACGTGCCCTGAACACCTCCCCAGGGAGGCGTCCAGGAGGCATCCGGAACAGATGCCTGAGCCACCTCAACTGGTTCCTCTCGATGTGGAGAAGCAGCGGCTCTACTCCGAGCTCCTCCCGTGTGACTGAGCTCCTCACCCAAGGGAGCGCCCAGCCACTCTGCAGAGGAAGCTCATTTCGACCGCTTGTATCCGCGATCTCGTTCTTTCGGTCATTACCCAAAGCTCATGACCATAGGTGAGGGAGGGGACGAAGATTGACCGGTAAATCGAGAGCTTTGCCTTTCGGCTAAACTCCCTCTTTACCACAACGGTCCGATACAGCGACCGCATCACTGCGCACGCTGCACCGATCCGCCTGTCAATCTCACGCTCCATCCTTCCATCACTTGTGAACAAGACCCCGAGATACTTGAACTTGAGGAAGGACCTCTCCACCCACCTGCAGAGGGCAAGGCACCTTTTTCCAGTCGAGCACCATGGCTTCAGATTTGGAGGTGCTGATTCTCATCCCAGCCGCTTTGCACTCTGCTGCAAACCGTCCCAGTGCATGCTGCAGGTCCTGGTTCGTTGGAGCCAACAGGACAACATCGTCCGCAAACAGCAGAGATGAAATCCTGTGGTCCCCGAACCGGACCCCCTCCGGCCCCTGGCTGCGCCTGGAAATTCTGTCCATAAACACAGTGAACAGAACCGGTGACAAAGGGCAGCCCTGGCGGAGGCCAACATGCACCGGGAACAGGTCTGACTTACTGCCGGCAATGCGAACGCAGCTCAGGCTCCGGTCACACTCCCGGAGAACCCCCCAAAGTACTCCCTGGGGAACACGGTCGAACGCCTTCTCCAAATCCACAAAGCACATGTGGACAGGTTGGGTGAACTCCTATGAACCCTCGAGTATCCTCCTGAATCCGAGATTCGACCATCGGTCGTAGTCTCCTCTCCAGTACCTTGGAGTAAACCTTACAGCAAAAACAAGCTGTACAAAAACTCCCACACAGACATGGAACACCGACTCATGACATGGAATAATCTGGCAGAGAAGTGATGTCCGACCAGAGTCTTAAAATTTCACAAATGTCTCACACATTTGTTTAAAATAAATACAATTAAAATTTGTATTTCATCCGTTGCCCCGCGACCCGGCAACGGATGAAGCGGAGGAAAACAAACGAACGAACGAACAATTAAAAAAAATAAGTTGTCATTTGTAACGTACAGAGTTACAGTTGATGTGAGTTTCAGCTCTGTAGGTCTAAGCCTGTGTATCAGTTCAACCAGTGAATCTCTATCTGAACTAATAAACCAGAAAAAAGCAAGACTGAAGCTTTCATTTAGGGTTTTTTCCCCGCCAAATCTTGACGGTCTAAGCTACACAGATGGTTAATCTTTCAGATAGGAACATTTCATTTTTGTGCTTTATTATGCTGTACCTTATGCTCTAAACATATAACGAAGGAAACAAACTCAAAGTTTCACCTATAATTCAAAGTTACAGATGTTGTCTATCATTATTAGTGCTTGACAATAGATGTGTTGGTCTTCTTATAGGCGGCTAAAGCACAGGCAGAGTCAGCCTCCACCCAGAGGGCCGAGCGGGAGGTCAGTCGGATGGTGGTGATCATGGTGCTGGGCTTCCTGGTGTGCTGGATGCCCTATGCCTCCTTTGCCTTGTGGGTGATCAACAACCGCGGAGAGACCTTTGACTTGCGATTGGCAACTATCCCGTCCTGCTTCTCAAAGGCTTCTACGGTCTACAACCCTATGATCTATATTCTGCTCAATAAACAGGTGACTATAGAACACACAATAATTAGCATTTTATCATATATCATGTGATGTATGTCATGTTCTGCTTTTCCAGTTCCGCTCGTGTATAAAGAAGATGCTGGGAATGAGTGACGGTGATGACGAAACCTCCTCAACTTCAGTCACAGAAGTCTCTAAAGTGGGACCAGCGTAGATCTATACCTATCAATATAAGGATTAAAAAATACATATAAAAACAGCAAGAGAACAATGAGGTGTGTTATGTAATATATGCAACTGAAAAAATAATGAAAAAAGAAAGTGTTGTATTTGAATAAATATTTTTTTCTCAGCAGTGTCCAGCAGCTCACATGTTGAGGGTGTCATTCTTTCTTTCAATATTTACAATATCTTCAAACTCTGAAATGGTTTGATCGCACAAGACTTCTTTAAACACAGGACACATCAATGGATATCAAAAACTAGTCTAAAAACCCATGTCTGAGTAGAAAGGTGGACGATTCCAAAAGAGTTTGCGTGTCTGACCGTTTGGGTGGGAGAGGATGTGGAGTGAGAGTTTATCTAGACTGCAGAAGCTCCCTACCCGCCCTCGTCGAGAGGTAGTCTGGATAAGAGGTGCCCACTTGAAAAAGAATGAACGGTCGCTGGTCTTAGGCTACACGCCTGGGTTAGCTTGCCGTCACGGTCTGGAAACCTGGCCTATGTAAAGGACCAAAGCTCCAATAAATGAATTGTATGTACACAAGGCCCTTCCATCATAACACATGCACAAAATAAATTAAAAATTAAAAATTAGGATTTAATACTGTATAGTTCTATAATGCAATAAATGTTCTTGAAGCGCAGTAACATGAAAATACAACCAATATTCCACAATAATGTGAATCTGATACATGGCCACCGAAGATGAATCATTAGTCAATAACAGATCTCAACCTGCATCAAGTAAGTAATATATTCACAATAGCATACAGTTGATACTAAATCAAAGCTTAGTCAATCATAATGAGCTCTGTATCAACAGTTGTCATCATGGTTTGGCTGAGTTAGCATAAGCTCTTTGAAATGCATTAAAGTAGCAATATCAGTGGGGGCGGGTCCCAGCTCAAAAGTGGCCAAAATGACGTGCGCTGACATGCTTGCAATACCACCCCGGGCCGATGGGGGTGGACCCAGAAGTAGAATTAGCCAATGCTAACGTATAGCATTGGCAGACCTCTCAAAAACGTCTTTACAGGATGGACCAAAAGTTGGCTCTTAGCCCAAAGCTCCGTTCCACATGTGTGTCAATGCTGAGGGGGGTGAATTTTTTTGGTCCACTCTAGTTTACTTGCTGTGAATTTTTGAAGTCTCTCGTTCAAATGAATGGAGCTCGCGCCGGCTGACGCATGCGCAGATACGTTTTTTCACAATTTTCTTGTGGGCGGGACCACTCGCGGCCATTTTGGATAGATCCAGTAGAGCATTATTTTTGACCCATTAGTTAGAACGGCAGAGATAGGCGTGACTCTTTCCGTTAATATATACAGTCTATGAGCAATATATGAGATTTTCATGTCAAGTCATCATTAAATGGCCGCAATCTGTCAAAAGGCGTTAATAAACCTGCTCTTTTTCAATACTGATAGCAGTAGTTCAGCCAAGATATATTAGTTTTACAGCCCCTAAATCTTGTCATTGTTTTTCATTTCGATGTCCCGCACTCCATTGTTTTACCAATCAGAAAGTGATCTGGGTTGCCAGAACACACCGCGTAAAGCTGATCTGAACTGGTAAAGTAACATGTGCCTGCAGAACTAAAAATGTCTCGTTATGATTCTCAAATCATTAATTACAAAACAAGGAATAAAACCAAGATTTCTTTTAGGGTTTTTATAAAAAAAGAAAGGTGATGTTATAGATTTGTTGTTGACAAAACTCTTCAGTCTTTTCAGATATCATTATTATGGTCCCAGCTTGATTTGTCTGCATATCTGGCAACCTGAGTCAGGGAGGTTGGGAGAGATTGAAGCACTATATTTGGCCAGCTTTTTACCAATGATATTAGCTCGACGCAGTGAGTTCTGGCAACCCGGATCACGTACTGTCTGATTGGTAAAACGGTGGAGGACGGGACATCGAAATGAAAACAATAACAAGATTTAGGGGCTGTTTGAATTTGAAATTTGATTATCTGAGCTGAACTGCTGCTATCAGTTAAAGATGTATTGAAAAAAAAGCCTGATTTGTTAATGCCTTTTGACAGATTAGGGCCATTTAATGATGACTTGACATGAATATCTTACATATTGCTACTTTAAATAAACACAAGACAAAAAAGGGGAAAAAACAGGATGAATTTAAATGGAAAATGTTTCAAAAGTGTATTGTTTATATGCTTAAGTTTGTTCTGAAACTGTTATCTATTTTTAAAAAAGATCAATGTATGTGGAGTTTTCCCAGGATGATCCACAGATTAACTAAAAAAAAGTATGTTTTTTTTCTAGTCCTTAAAAAAAAATAAAGAAAATATCCTGAAACAAAATATAATGTAGGGAATGACTCTTTTAGTGAAGCAACTATTTCCAGAAGGTGGCGGTAGAAATATGTGTCCATAAGAGTTACTTCTTCGTGAAAACCTCCAAGACAGATTCTACATTTAGGGAAAACACAGCCTTTAAGGTCCTGAAGAGTATATCCATTCATCCTAAGTTCTAGGTTTGACTCTCCCAAACAACTGGGACACAGACCAATTCAAAGTTTATTTGTATTGCACATTTACAATTACAAGTTGTGGCATACAGTCCACAAAGGATAAAACATTAAGACACCCAAAAACACAGAAAAAATACATTGAAAAAACAAATTACACTTTAAAAAAATATAACAAAAACTTATCACACTGACAACATAAATACGGGCAATACACAACACAAACACACAAACAAATAATATTAAAAGGACAGCTGACGACCAAAAACAAATCCGAAACAAGACAAAAAAAGTAACGATAAAGACAGATATATAATAAATAAATGAATAAAAAAAACAATCTAAAGTAATATAATTAATTCCATTCATTTAAAAGTGACTAATACCTCTGGACCTAGAGCCTGGCCACAGAAAAACCTCGAACCTCTGTTATTTGATTCAACTTGGCCATATGGTTTTAACTGGGATAAAGTGGGACAACAAATCAGACAAATAAACAACAAAGGCGTGGGACAACACATGGCCATCATATTTACACACATATATTCACAAAAACGTTAAAAACTACTGCACTGATGGGAGATGAAATCACCACACTGGACAAAAATACTAGAGTTCACCTCCCACCAGTGCAGACGTCCTGCTGGTCAGACGGGAGGCTCAGCTGGCTGTCGGGGGCACGTCTGAGTTCTGCTAGTAGTGAACTTTGATTAAACATATTGAGCTCAGAACTAGCGGAATTCCAGACAGACCCTCGAGAAAATGCAAAACAACAGCAAAATCCGGCTTGGAGGTCCTTTCGATGCAGTCTCGATGGAGAGTAGATGCGATGTGAAGCCAGTTGGTGAGGCACACATCCCATGCGGACTAAAGCACATGTCCTTAAGGTATTAACAAAGCCCTATTGCCTTGAATAGCCTCACTCCTGCACCTATTACAGGGTCATACGGATGCACATGTCACCTCTCATTATTCTAATCCCTGTTCGCAAATTCAGCTGTCCGGTGAGTCTCCATAGCAGACCAATCCCTCCACAGACTTTATGGTTCTGGAAGTTTACAAGTGAAACTCAATTCAACTTTAAACGTGAAACCAGTACATGATTTAGACTCACTAAATGGAAAGTGACATATATCAAGCATTTGTTTGTTATATTTTTTATGATAATGGCATCACATTTTCAATGTAAATCAGAAGCTGTATTTGTAAATATGATGATCGGTGTCCCAGCAGGAGGCCAGTCCCCGTGCTCATCAGAGTCCCAGCAGTCCCTCTCTCCCTCAGAGTGGAGAGTTGTTCTTGTTAATGTCTATTCTAGCACAGGACTACTATCTTACTCTATGGAAACATTTTTTACACAATCACATTTTAAGATTTAAGATGACATTTTCTTTGTCATTTCTCTTTCTTCTGCCATAACGGTGAAGCAAGTAGAACAAAGATGCAGGCCAGGTGAAAGTTCAAAAGAGTTAAAGTCTCTTAAGACTCTGGATACCAATTGAGCTGAAGCATCAAGTCCAATTATGTAATCTTTTCATGGATTTTAACGTAAGGTCTAGAGGTGCGTGATCAGAACTTCATCCTATAGTCAACCACCCTCTGAGGAGGAATCAGTTTACGGCTATAGACTTTGCCACTTTCCACCACTTTGAAGGTCTATGGTTATCTCATTTCTTAACTTCAAATGTATTGTGGAAAATACAAGATGAGGGGAAACATGTGCCATTTCCTACTTTGCAAGTGGCTTTTACCATAAGTACAGAAGCACACGATGAATTATGAAATATAAACCTTTGCTATTTATGGCCAAAATGGAAGAACACATTTGTGGAGAGCAGTCTATAGGATATAATAGTGCTGCTGTCGCTGAAAATGTGGATTGCTCACTGAAGGAAAAAAATCAAGATTAAGAGATTAAGAACTCGAGATTGAGGTTTATTTGTCCCACAGTTGGGAAATTTCAGAGTTGCATCAGAAGTTACAGAACAGTGAAGGGTGGTCTTTGGTGACTCTGATAAAAATTAATATAAATAAAAAATACAATGAAATTGTCCAAAACGATACAATAAAATCAATCCCCCCCCCCCCCCCATATTCATCACAATATTGAGCTCCACAGTACTCGCTCACTTCCTGGTCCCATAATAAAAGTGTATCTTAATAAAAGATTTAAACATTTTTCAAATATAAATAAACGCAACTTGGTGAGCATTTGCCCTATTTTAAGTTTTGATTATGCTTTATTTAGCTACTTCTATAGTCTCCATCAGATCTTCTAACCCTTTACCACCGGTGCCAGAGCGGACAGCCCAATTTGCAGCTCCATGTGCCAGGCCGACAGACCTCCCTCCATACAAGCAGAGGCCCTCTAACTTTCACTGATGTGAACATGAAATGTGTATTGGACTAAACTGCAAATAAAGGAAACTTCCCTGTCCATGTTTTGTTTTTGTATCGTTTTCAACCTTCTCCGCTCCACCTTCCCTTGTGACTATTTATCTATGAATACACATTTAGTCTTAGTTACTTCAATTGTGTTTGATTTCTGTATGTATAACTATATGTTTTATTTAATTATTTACGATATTTTTTCTCTCTATTTATCTATAAGCATGTTTTTCATGCTCCATTTCAATAGATGGCGCTATTTATCTCAAGGGCTTGCAACCAGTTCTAGGCTGCATCCAAATTCATCCTTCGGTGTGCTTGTACCGTAATATTCACAGTCTATGGCTTGTACCTTTTATGAGAAGACTTAGCTTCATCTTTAGAAAATTACAATTTACATTGTTTAAAAATATCTTTAAGGTCACTTGTGTCAAAAATGCAGGCTCTAAAGCTAAATAAAAAATACAAGGAAGGATAAGGATGGAGGATGTTTGTGTTTTTGGATGCAGTGTCACCCGAACTGTTCTCGTGCGCATGCGCAGCTTTCTACACGTGAATGGAGTCGGTGGTGATCATATGGTGGTGATCTGCAGTCATGTCCAAAGCAAGTATGTATAACAACTCAATTTACACATTCTGAATATACCTATGTTGTATAATACCTGTCTCTTTACCGTGCCAGAACAAAAACGGGCCAAGAAGCTTGGCTTTCTCGGAAAACTGAAGGTAACAAAGTTAATCTATTATAGCTATGTTTGCCAGTCAGCTGTGGCTTAGTTTATAAAGCTGGAGTACCTTGCGTTTTATTGAAAATATACACTGGGTGTTTGTCCCAACAGAAAGATTCTTGTGAATAGTAACTTAACTAGAAAATATGACTAGTAATGGTTGTGAAAACTCGTGATTGAGCTTGAAACTGTTGACATGGATGTTATGTGCTTCCATTTGATTTTGTGATAAGTTGGTTCCAGCAGCTTCGAAAGGTTCTAGTGCAGTAATTGTCCATATACCCTTTTTAACTGCTTTTATTCCTTTGATTGACTCGCTGTCAATATCTATCAGTTGCTCTCTAACTTCACATAAAGTCCCACCCAAGTACATGCAACAAAAGGAACCAAAATTTAGCTATTAATTCAACTGTGCCCTGGTTCTCTTTGAAGAAGCTTAGATAAACATACCACTTTGAGAATCACTGATCTATTATGCAATATATATTTCATTATAGAACAGTTAATGACAAATGCATTATCACAACTTTATGGGCTGCACCTGGTGATGTTACAATAAAATACCATACAATTTATTCTTGTATAGCCCTAAATCACAACAGAAGTCATCTCAGAGGACTTAACAAAACCGTTGAAATCACCAACACAGATCAGAGAATCAACAGTTAAAACACATAAATCATGTAAACAATAAAGTGTCCTGTATCATCACCACAGTCCTTCTAGTTGGACACTAACTGCCCAACAGACCCTCCTGCATCAGCAAGGAAAAACTCATTAGAAAACCCAGTGGGAAAAAGTGAGAAACCTCGGGGAGACCCATGGTTTGAGAAAGGGATCCGCTCCCACGGACGGACGGGCTATAGATCCAGGACCTAAGCTACAGAACGGTGTCACCTTGTTCCCATTCAAGGCAAAGCGAAAGTCATGACTTGATTATTATTGTTACTATCATCAATTTCATCACTACTTTTCAAAAATTATATCCTGTCGTAATGCATACTTTTAATGTTTTCTTCCTATTAAAGCAAAGCAAAGATGGGCGAAGGATCGGTTCTTCTGGTCAAACAAAGACTACTGAGCAGGCTGCTAAAGACCCCAGAAATTCGGAAGAAATTCGGAAGCAAAGGGTAATAGTCTTATTTGTTTTGAATGTATTGACTTTACATTTATTTTGAGTAATAAAATCAACGTTTTTTGATCAGCTTCACGACCTTCAGGAGAAACAGAAACTATCCAGAGATCGAGAGCTGATGAAAAGAAGAAATTTGCAGACTTTTCAGAGTGATATTTTGCAGCGGCAGAGGGAGTTTGAGCTGAAGGTTATTACAATTAAGAAGCTTTGTTTTGTTTTTGTAACAAATATTATTTTCAGATTCAAACTACATTTTTTGTTCCCCATAGGAAACCGAAATGCAAAATTTAGAAAAAAATTGTAATTTTGAAAACGAAAATTCCCGGAAAGCATATTACAGAGAATTCAAGAAGGTATGTACAATTTCAGTAATTTTAAAAACAATAATTTCAGACCTAATTTGTTGTAATTCAAGGTGGTCGAGGCGTCAGATGTTATATTGGAGGTGTTGGATGTGCGTGACCCTCTTGGCTGCAGATGCCCGCAGGTGGAACAAGCGGTCATTCAGAGTGGAACCAACAAGAAAATTGTCCTGGTTCTGAATAAAATAGGTATGTATGTTGCTTTGTTTTAAAAATAGGAACTCTTGCCCAAAGAGTAAATGTTGTTAAAGCTGGGGTACCTAACCTTTTCACTCCATAGCAACAAACATCTTACCTTTGCATACTTGATGCTTTGGGCTGAGAGGTAATTAATTGGCTGAGTCTGAAAAAGCTGATCTAAAGATGTGACGGAGACAAAACATATGTGCATGTGAAAGCTAATTATTACAACCAAACCAATGCTAAATGATGTGCATATGTTTTGCGGTGTTTAGATCTGGTTTCAAAGGACATTGTTGAAAAATGGATTAAATATCTTCGTAATGAGTTCCCTACTGTGGCGTTCAAAGCATCCACACAGCAGCAGAATAAGAATTTGGTATGTACTGGTATTTTACTAATTACTAGGGGCGTGACAATATATAAAAAAAAATTATATCGCGATACTTTCTCCCGCAATTTGATTATCGATATGCATTTGCCAAGTATCGATATCGAATTTGAATTTTTATTTTTTTAAATTGGTATCAATACCTAATATATGGCTACATTACACATCTCCATTCCATTTATCATGGAATAAAGTGTATTTTTTCTTTTATTTATGCCATAAATTGGCATATTGTATATTTCTGACCAATATATCGATAATCGTCATATCGTGATAAAATCGTTATCGTGATAAAATCGTTATCGTGATAATATCATTATTGTGAGCTTTTTATCGTGTATCGTATCGTATCGTGAGGTACCCTTAGGTTCCCACCCCTACTAATTACTACTAAATACTACCTCTACTGCAGGGGTCTCTAACCTTTTTTGATTAGAGAGCTACTTTTATAAAACAGAGATGGCAGAGAGCTACTCTTTTCTTTATCATGCTAATGTCAGAGATTTTATACGCAATTATTGCTTCTTTATTATGCTAATGTTGACAATTTTAGATTTGCTTCTATACTACACTAAAGTTTATTTTCCTTACTGTGGAACTAATGAAGGATCTCTCTCTTAATAAATACATTTTATCTGTACTCCAAATGCATTGAAAATCCCTTTGGGTGACCTTGCTCTGTGAACTGTGCTATATAAATACACTTAATTAGCTTGATTACTTACTCTAGCAGTCGTATTAAAAATTTACTCTCTAATGACTATAGCATGCAAGCATAATATGCCGTATCATAAGCAGAATGAAACTGATAGGTAAAGCATTCAGGATCATGTGTTAAATTCTTGAATCCCGGTACTTGCAGATCCTGAGCCACAGGTTGGAGACCCCTGCTCTCCCCTTCTGCTCTGTATACTGTGTCATATTTGTATAACTATATATTGCACAAGCTGCTCATGTTTTGGGCAGTAAAAACAGTTGTGAAACATTGAATACATACTTTCTTGTTGTTGCAGAAACGCAGCAATGTGCCAGTGACTCTAGCAACCCAAGAGCTGCTCAACACCAGTGCTTGTGTAGGGGCAGACTGTTTAATGAAACTACTTGGAAATTACTGTCGCAACCTGGACATAAAGACTGCGATCACTGTAGGGGTGGTTGGTAAGCAATAATTCCCACTAATTTTTTAACTGTTCACATCAGTAAGCATAATATCCAAGTTTGGTTTCAGGTTTTCCCAATGTGGGCAAAAGTAGCTTAATCAACAGTTTAAAACGGGCACGAGCATGTAGCGTTGGAGCCACTCCTGGTGTCACAAAGTAAGTGAAATCATTTATGTGACTTATGTGACCTCAGGAGATTCTTTGTGAGTGACATCAGCCAGGAGTAACAACAGTATATTGTATCAATTCCAGATGCCTTCAACAAGTGCATTTGGATAAACACATTAAGCTGTTGGATTGCCCTGGCATCGTCATGGCAGTGTCCACGTCAGATGCTGCAATGATTCTTCGTAATTGTGTCAAAATTGAGCAGCTGGTGGATCCTCTTCCACCCGTCGAAGCGATCCTCAGACGTTGTAACAAAGCTCAAGTAAGTCAAAGCTTTCTATGGAGCAATGGAAGATGAACATTGAAAAATTAATGCAATCATACATTGTGCCAATATACAGTATAGGTCAAACTCAGAAGATCTGTTATTCATAATGTATGACAGTCTATATCAAGCCATTATAATGTTGACAATGATGGCTCTATATTTCATTATCTAAAATATCTCAGAAAATTTGAATATTTTGAGACTTTTGGTTTCACCTTGTTTAATTTTGAAGTACAGAACTAGATTTTGCATGTTTCACTGGTATACTTGAAGTAGTTTTAACAGGTAGATTGTTGTCATAGATGTTTAATTGCCTGTGCATCGTTTTGTGCCATCCTAATGTTTTCAATGAGACTTATTTGTTTTAGACTGATTCGTTAATTGTGCTTTACAGATCATGCAACATTATGGGGTCCCAGATTTTCACACGGCTTCAGAGTTTCTGGCACTACTTGCTCGGCGCCAAGGCAAACTGAGGAAAGGAGGACTGCCGGATACAGACAAAGCAGCCAAGGGTGTATTATTGGATTGGACAGGGTCAGTACGGTTTATTATACAAATTGAACAAAAACATATTCATATAAAATATAGGTATATTAATGCACTATTATTGTATCTTTAAGAGGGAGGATAAGCTATTTCACCCACCCTCCAGAGACACATACCCTTCCTACTCATGTCAGTGCAGAGATTGTGTCAGAAATGGGGAAAGCCTTTGACTGGGACGAGTTGGAGAAAGGGAATCAAGAGGTTCTTGCTGGTATGAAGGCCTTGTTGATTCATGAGTTGGATGGAATGCTAGTGAAAGGGTGGCTTATTTATTTATTTATTTATCTACTTCAGAGTCGAGTACTGATGCACAAATGGGATTCTGCATGGAATCTTGTGGAATGACTCAGGGTGACCAATTTGAAGCAACCCTTAATCGAGAAATGGGAGAAGCGGCTGAGTGGGAGGATGCAGAATCTATGGAAGACGATGAAGACGCGGAGGTTTGTTTATTGATATCAACTTATGAATGGTAAACTGTAGATTACTTTGTAACATTCGATTACCTCTGACAGTTTGGGCCTATGACCGTGGAATTTAAATCTCAAAAATCTAAAATTGAGACACCCGCATGTACATTCAAAGCCCCGGATTTAAAAGATATTTCGAGTATGGATCCTTTGCAACAAGGACAGGCTCTTGTGGCTGCAAATAAGAAGAGAAAAAAGCAACAGAAAAGAGCTGGTTAGTAGTTTGGTGTTAAATAACCTTATCAATTAAGTTCACAAAATAATTTTAATTTTTTGTCTTTTTAGATAAAATAGCAGTGAAGCTTTCGGACAGCTTGACTTCAGCCATGAACTTTCTTTGATACTTCAAAATAAATACAATGAATATAAACATTGGTTTTGTTTTTCTTAAATGGAAAAGTGTTCAGTCTTGCCCTAGATATCTCTCATTGGACCTATCATTTCATTTTGTATAAATAAAGCTCACAGTAAAGTGTGTATTTTTGGCTTCTGACTAGCTTTTATATTAACTTTCACAGATACAAAAGTGAAAGATGACCACCTTTACTCTGTGAATTAGTTCGAATATGCTTGGTATCTCAACTTAAAGGTTTGGGAGAACTTAGGTTACGTTAAAAGAGTCCATGAGATATAGTACAAACTGTTAGACCGCCTATGTTCAGATCTCATGTTGACTAAAGCAATGGGATCCCAGCGTGTGGATCAGTTCCGGGTGGTATCTGGTGGGATGACCTCAGCTGTCAGCCTGTGTCTGGAGTAAACAACATTCTCGAGGCCAGCGATTGTTTAGCGAGATCTCCGCATGAAGAAGTATGGCAAAAGAGCATAAACACTGAGGGGATTTACAGCCCTGACCTTAATACAACTGTCATTGTAAGTACGCGTTTGGATCTCGGGAAATTATGTAATGATTAGCGTTAGCATTAGCATTAGGGTAGGCAACTGTGGCATGCATAATACATCCATGCATGCATCTGGCTAGAATTTTAATAACAGCTATTCTCACTTCCTCTTTTCTATTTCAAAGATGTTCAGTTTCACTTTGGTTATAAATGTGTAATGTTTGCTTGTGTGTTGTCTGAAAAGTGTAACTCCAGGAGAGCTGTGCATTGGAGGCGCTGTGTAGAGATGGGCCCGTGAGAACTGTCAGTCTCAGTCTGTCCATGCTCTGCATGATTTACCAAACTTTAACACTAATCTATGTGCTAAAGTGAAACCTTACTTTAGCTCTACAAGAATTCTCAACTTCAAAAGTATGAATCTAATTCTGCTCAAATTGCATCAAATTGACTTCCCCATTAAACTTACCAAGTCTTAGCAGTCTGCATAAAGATTAGATGAAAAAAGTTCATTATGTCTTAATATTTAAGGCTTAGGAGGTTCTTCTAATAAGACAAAAATATAAGTGTCAGGTAATTAGACAGAACTAGCTTCTTTACACCTTCTTTTCTGGTCCATCAGCGACACTCCAGTCTCCAGTTTCTGAAAAATTCACTTGATAAAAGTACACTTTATGGCTCATTTTATTTCATATATCATATACACATTTAATGTGTACTGAACAAACGGTATGAAAGACAGGAGTAAGTATGTAGCCTGCTGCAAATCATAATACAAATTAGTATCACAATGCAGAACTGTCTAAGGACAGTGATGATCTGGGACATTTATGCAAGTATATTAACATTTAATAACAATAAAAACTCTTGTCATTCTGCTACTCTATGGACCAAATACTCCTTTTTTATTATTGCACTTCCTGTGGTTTAATTGTTTAATTGCTCTGATCTGTTGTTGGCAAATCGACAATTTTGTTATGTCCACTGAGACGCCTGCTATTGTGACTAGAGCCACACAAAAAAGCCCTAATTCATAGGGAGATGTGAATCCACCAAATAAGTGTTGCACTCTTCCTGTAGTGTTTTCTGGTTTCTTGTATTAATTTGTTATTGTTGTATATACATTTTTTCTATTATTTTTTTTAACTGTCAAGGCTGTTTGGGCAGGTAATCATCTGACTGCCTCCCATCCTGTTTTATAAATGAGACATTTCCTATGACCTCTTGGTAACATTGAGGTAATCATCCTCTCTCTGCTCTAGCTTCTTCCTCAGAGTGGTCCTGTCGGATGAGCCATGTCTTCGCGGGTGTTGCTCCGGCAGCAGCTGATGCGGGAGCAGGCTCAGGAGCAGGAGAGGAGGGAGGCCCAGAACCAGGCCTCCGCATCCCACCAGAGGGCCTCCGACATCACTCCTGCCATCTCTGTCACTGTCCCCCAGACTGCGGCCCGCCCTCCGCCAGCTCAGGTCCCTGTGGAAGTGCTCAAGGCAAGTCTACACATGTTTTTACAAAGACTGTCATGATACAGCGACACGAATTATTGCAATGATTAACTGCAATAGCATCAAAATTGCAACATTAGTAGCTGCACAGGTTGTAATTAACGATGATTGTCTTTGATGATTGATTAGTTGGCCAATTAGTCTTTTTGTTAGTCAATTAGACCAAAACAAAGCTCTGGTGATGCCTCTGTAGAATGATTACACATTGGGTTGTTTGATCAATAATACTTCGTTTCATTCTACAGTATTTTATTGTTGTCATAAAACCTCTTCTCAGCATGTTTAAGTCTATGTAAGGTCCAAAACTCTAACAAATTCCTTGCAAAAATACCAAATGATTTAGATTAAATAATTTCCTTTATAAACAGCATTTTGACTATTTTATCTGCTAATGGAAAAGACAAGTTTAGACTTGTCGAAATTAGTTTTAAGCACTGTGGGAATTCAACAGTAAACATATCGTCCAATAAAGAAAAAAAAAATGTTGTGGAATTACCCTGAGTGCTTCTAATTAGTGCTTTCAAAGGTTTAAAATTTTGAATCGCATTAATGTAGTTAACTCCCCACACCGTGTTCTAAATGTCCTCGATTTGGTTCGAAAAGAGATGAAGGATGAAGCAAAAACTTCCAATCCCCTCCAAAAAGTATTTGGATTGTCTAATATAGGACACTCAATCTCAGCATGCTTTTGTTTTAGCTTTTTACAGTGTATAAGCTATTGTAGAAATGACTTGAATGGCCTAAATAAGGCTACTCTTCATTTAAGTCAGTTAGATTTTTTTTACAGTGTATAGACTTTCATGCTCAGTGGAAATGACTATAGCTTCAATATTTGGACTGTGACCTGGAGATAGTTGTGATTACTGATGGACATACAGTTATCACCACTGAGTGCGACTGCTTTTGTTGTCTCCCACGCTTGCTGTGCCTTATGACACCTGAACTGCACACGCATCTTTAAAAAGCAGAAAGGCGCGCCCCTGTGTATGTGTGTATGTATATATATATATATATATATAAAATTAAATACAGACACAGTTTGCACAACTAATGAAAAAACCCTCACACAGATTATGTTGTTTTATTGGAACAATGAGATATTTATTTATAAACAATAATTTGACTTTTATCCACAGGTGCAAACCCACTTGGAAAACCCCACCAAGTATCACATCCAGCAGGCACAGCGGCAGCAGGTGAAGCAGTACCTGTCCACCACGCTGGGCAATCAGGCCGTCTGTCAGACTCTGGGGGTCTCTCCAGGGCCTCAGTCCAGCTCAGCTCCTGAAGCTGCTCACACTGCCAACAGCGCCCCCAACAGTCCCATGGCCTTGCTCAACATCGGCTCCAACAAAGAGGAAGTAAGAGTCATCATGCCATAAATAGAACCAAGTGTTTAACTTTGTGCTTGACAGTTTACACTCTAAGCCATAGACTGTTTTGTTTTGGCCATATTTTGGAAATTATGAAATGAGAACAACTAAAAAAAATAACGTTTTGTTAGTTGTTGTGTGAAGATATAATACCAAATAAACATGTTTGCTATTTTCAAATGATAACTTCATTGAGGGGCTCTTGGGAGAACTCAAAAGTGCAGTTCATGTTAGGCAGCGCTAGATGTAACTTTACCATCAGAGAGGGTAAAGAACCTCATCCACACCACAAAAAACTTCCAATTTAGGTCAGAAGAGGAATTTTTGTTGTTTTCATTTGGAAATTAGTTTTTTTAATTTGTTTATTTACAAAATATAAATAAAGACAGAATCATATCTTGAGCATTTCTTTATACATGTTAAGCTATATCTATACCTAATAACTATAACAATGTATTACAAAGCTATTTATTGCTCCAAAAGAACATTTATAAATCATTTCTGTGTTATTGAAACTGGTATTGATTACCAAGAATTGTTCTAGTATTTGTTTGTATTTTTCTACTATTTGTTTATTTGACAATATAGGACCTCACACAACCGCTATCAATGAGTGAAAAGAGGGTTATCATTCATAATCTCCACCATATGGCCAATAAATAGACGTTTCTGCCCGGGTGTGTAAACTTTCAAGCACAACTATATCTGCTTTTGGTTTCTTTTACTACTACCGCAGATTACACATCGCTGCCAAGACTTGAGACATTTTGAGGATTTTGCTCACATCTTGCCTAATTACTTTCTATTTGCTTTGCTGTGAATGTGAGTGCCTTTTGTCGTAGTCTTGTTGGCCTTGTGTCACAATAGCTTGTTAAATACTGCACTCCTCTTTCAAGTGCCCCAATCTAAATGACTATGTAATTCATACTAATATTTTAATTCAACTAAATGCATAAAAATGCTTGTAAAGATGCTAATTTGTATACCTAAAAAACTCAAATAAAAAACGATGTTCCTCGTTCTCAAAACAGTTCTATCACTAGTTTTCACATGAATGTATTTCTCATAATTATCATAATTAGATGAGATTTTTTAGGCAGAAAAGCTAAAACGTGAGGACGACCCTCACTCTACCAATCAGCTCTCAGTCCCGATAGTGACTCACAAGACTCTTTCAAGGCAAAAGATAAAATATATAATGAAGACAACATTTTACTTTAAGACTTTTTCTGGTGGGAGAAATTAGATGTATTTAATGAAAGAAAATGTAACGTTGGAGTGCCTAACTTATTGTTTAATAAATAGTGTTTGCCTATTTGTCCCAACAGAATCTAGCAAAGGGGAAGTTCTGTGAACAAGTCAGACTCTGTGGGCTGAGAGCTGATTGGCTGAATGAGGGTGGTCCTCTCTTTTTAACTTTTCTGTCTGAATAAAACTTATCGAATGATCAGTTTTAAAAGTACTACAGATGTAAAGTAGCATGGTGCTAAATCGGGTGCAGCCATATTTTTTATGTAACTGCACATTGTCTTTAAATAAAAAAATAAAAAAATAAACAATCCGTGACAGAGGCCAAAAGTGCATGCACCTGAAAACTAGCGTTTGAAGGTTTACTCTTTATCTGTTTTTAGAGCGATGGACATTATTACATAGTATATTTAGTGGTTTAGAAGTTACAGAAGATACCACTGCTTTAAATAAACATGTCTAACTCTCTGAATGGAGTAAATGAGCATCTGCTTTGTGAGTTTGTCACTGACTCTTTGTCCTGTGTTCCAGATTGATGATGTGATTGATGACATCATTAGCCTTGAATCCAGTTTCAATGATGACATCATTACTTTGATTGACTCTGGTCTTCAACTGCCCAGCACGGTAAGAACAACAATCAAACACCGCCATTTCTTCTATTCTTTACGTAGTTAGGCTTGGCTCATAAGCAGCTCTCTCTTGTTTATGCTTTCTATGAATGGCCTGTGTCTTTTGAGTGTGAAATTCAGGAGTGTCATGGGGGTAAATATGCACTTTTGGCACTACAATACCATTCGCCGCAATAGTGCTGGCTGGGCGGGGTGTGGGAGGCTCATATCTGGAGATCAGGGAGAAGCAAGAGAACGGCCTCTGCAGAGTAGACAGGGTAACTGCTCAATGTTGGCTTGGAACTAAAAAACTAGCATTTTAGCTTCAAAGAAAAAGATGAGAATTATGGTCATGTTATTGGAGGAGAAGAAAAAGATGCATTGTGAGGTAAATACTGTGTTCTCTGTTATACTTTCTCTTTGATACGCACTGTTATATTGGTCCATAACTGACCTGAGAAAACAAACTAAGGCTGTAAAAAGTGAATCTCTTAATTGCAACTAATCGATTTTCAATTTCGTTAAAATATTTCTTTTATATAGAAGTGTCCATGCTGAGATGGTTTATGACTCCAATAATTTGATAATGACTAATCCAATGAGTATTTATCGCAATGAAGATTTTTTGTTGTCAAAATGTATAACAAATTATACATTTTAGATCTAAACAACTAGTTTGTGACCAAAATACTTGTCATTTCCAGCCCTGAAACAAACTACATTTTTGCTGCTTGCTTTAGTATTATTATTATTATCTGTATTTGTTTCTTAGCTCCCTGGAAACTTGCTGGATGTTTACCATAGCCCTGGGATGACTGCACCTACACTCACTGTCAGCAACTCGTGTCCTGCTGATCTTCCAAATATTAAAAGGGAAATAACAGGTTCGTTCTGAAAACATAATAGGACTGAAGCTCTGATTTAGCACTGAATTATTTATTACAGTATGAGGAAAAAGACTCACCGTACAAGCTACAGTATATGGGTCCTATTTTGCAACAATTTGTGTTCTTTTAGATGTGGATGCCAAAGTACTACTTAAAGAACGTCAGAAAAAGGACAACCATAACCTCAGTAAGTCCGCTGAATGTTCAGTTTTACTAAACAACACAAGTACAATATCACATTTCTGCCATTTTATACAGTTGAAAGAAGACGACGGTTCAACATTAATGACCGCATAAAGGAACTGGGTGGTCTCGTGCCCAAGTCGAGTGACCCGTAAGTTCTGACAGTGGTAACAGTAAAGTCAAATAAATGTTTTACTATTCTATAAGTACACTATACATAATCTGTGACAGGGAAATGCGGTGGAATAAGGGCACAATCCTCAAAGCGTCTGTGGACTACATCAGGAAGCTGCAGAAGGAGCAACAGAGGGCTAAAGACATCGAGATGCGACAGAGAAAACTGGAGCAAGCAAACCATACACTACTTTTACGCATTCAGGTGAGAGGAGAGGCGGCACATGTATTTGAGCGAGTGGCAACTTAAGTTTTTCAACAGGACTGCACTATATTATTTGTGTCTGGTTAGACATTACTTTTTTAGGTTGTGATCCTCAATGGGAGGTTTATCAATGAAAAAGTACTACTTTTTAAAGCAAAGTGCCCAGGTCCTAGAACTGAAAATGATCTAGTTTAGTCATGTGCTGCATATAAATAACACTGATGTATTTAATCAAAGGAACTGGAAATGCAGGCTCGGATCCACGGTCTTCCTTCCGGCTCGTCCATGTCCTCTGGTCTCACTGACTCGTCACTGCAGCAGCCTCTCAGCAGTCAGTCGGTCAATGGTCAGAACCTCCTAGAGCGTGTTGCTGGTGGACATCCACTGCCCACCTCCTTCCTGTCACCGCCCTCCTCAGACTCTCCAGCTGGTGTGTCCATCAGTAGCCCCCTGGACCTGGGCAGCTTGAGCTTTGCAGAGCTGGATGAGGCCTCTGCCTCTGCGCTCTATCCGGATGTGGGATTAGGAGACATTCTCATGGACGATGGGTGCACCCTGTCTCCTGAAGGAGCAGAGCCTCTCTTCTCCCCTCTCTCTCCTGGAGCTTCCAAAACCAGTAGCCGCAGGAGCAGCTTTGACATGGATGAGGACTTGTGATGAAGTCAGAGCAAATGACACAAAAGAACCTTCTCAAATATATATGTGTGTATGTGTGTGTGTATGTATATATAGCTATATATATATTTATACATATACACACACCCTATTTAACACGTCTATTAGAGTTAAAATAACATGAGATATTCTATCAAATAATTATTTTGACACTGAACACGTTTGTTCTCTTTTGGAACAGATGACAGAACATTTTTAATACAATTGTTTTAGCATTAACTTGAAAAGATTATGGTATATGAGGGATATAAATCTAGATTTTTATGAATTTTCTTATTTAGAATAGTGTATAGCATAACATGCTTGGTGACTGCAACAAGGATCTGTTCAAAACAGCAGTAGTGGCACAAGGGAAGTGAATTCACCTTATTGACTTTTTACTTCTGAATGTATTATTTTACAGATTTTAATTGCACCTTATTTATGGCAGTCTATGCAAAAAAACTAAAAACATTGGTTTCTGTTTTATATTTATTAACAGCTAATATCCAGGTCGCATGTTTCTATAAGTAAACTTAAAAGCAGTGGAAAATCACTTGCTGCAGCTAGATGGCCAAAGCAAAAAAATCTTCAGGAGTAGCTTCTATTTCCTCATCTCTTTAACATTTTTATTTTCACTTTTTATCTGTGAATGCAAGCATTTGAAATACAGTGAAACATTTTCCACAGTACTGTACCGTTGATATTTTTGTAAGACATGAAACAACTTCATATTCAGATGCATCCCTTCCTTGTTTTGAAAATGTAGATGTTTATCTGCATTATCATTGAAATAATAAAAATAATAATAATGTGAGGACAAATCCAAGACTCGTTTTGAGGAATAATGTTGCGAGCTGTATCTTGCTATGTGTTTTTTTTATTTTATATAAATGATCTTATTGACCCTTGTTAGCCAGGATAGTCCCGCTGAGGCTCAGAAGGAATGAGCCGATTTTACATGTTTTTAGTAAACTATAACAACAGATTTTCACCAGTCAACCTTCATTTAATATATTTTGCTTTTTTATGAATCCAAGCTAAGAAACTGCACACTGAGCATTTGTGCACTTCATTCTGGTGATGATCCCTCAGCGAAAGCGTGATCCTCTTTGTGTTCCACTCTTATGCTGCTTCTCACATGAATGCTCTAAGATATATATGCATTAGCTCAAAATCGACTGTTAAAAATCCTACCAGAAACTATTTTGTGTCTTGTCCATCTCGTTGACTTGAAATGGCTTTTTAACAAACGAGTAAATAAATAAGTGAATTTCACACACATGCGTTTATGTCTATGTATTATGTTTATGTTTTAAGATTCAAGAATTTATTTGCCATTTGCAGTAAAACCACATTGGAAAAACTGTGCAAGACTACCCCAGAGTGCACCAGACAGATAATATAGTACACACCAGCGCTCCTGCCACTTTTCAGTTCTCTTAGTGGTACAACATTTGGGAGATTTCCATGCAGAGATCCAGACACTCCGTAGCCTGGAGGCAGATGTCACAGAGGGGGCACTGGCTGCACTGGCTCCCCGCCCAGGTGCAGATCTCACAGGGGAGGCTGATGTGGAGCAGTTGGAGCACACAAGGGTCACATCCACATATGGATGAACAGAGCCACCACACGCACTCACTACAGCCTTTCACTGATGCCAGAAGACAATCCACGGGCTGGCAAAAGAGGCAGGCCAGGAGGGCAGCAGCACAGGTACCTCGGCACAGAAGTCCAGAGAAATGTCAACCACAGTGGAAAGATATGAACAAGGGCAAAAAAAAATGTGATAGTGATATTTGTGACCAATGTTACGATGCAAATTTTGGATATCCTCTATATATACTATTATATATTATTTTTAGTTTATATATATAGATTTAGGAACATATGAAGCAATTACCACATGCACAAAAGCCATTTTCCAAGTAAAAATAAACATTTAACAGCAAACAAGTTATTAACCTTTAATTAACCAGGAAAGGCCAATTGAGATCAAGAACTTCTTTTTCAAGGAAGTCCTGGAATATTTAAAGCTTTGTGACTCTGGTCTGTGAAAGGCGCTAAAAAAATAAAGATGACTTACTTATCTGTCAATATTGATTAGTTGTGATTTTAGTGCAATTTTAATATAAATATTTTCGCTCATATATGTAATAAACTACTCTATAATTAAATTGAGGCATGTATGTTTTTCCTGTTTTTTTTTTCTTAAAATCGCATCTCACAGTACTTGCATGTTTTGGAGTATGTTAATGATTATTTGTTACAGGTCTAATATAAACACTTGATCTAAGTATTTAAAAAAAATCTTTTCTCTCTACATTCTTGGAGTCAGAGCTGAGTCGCACACATTTTGACAATTTATATAACTTATGAAAAAGATAAGATTTCCATACCATTGGGAATATGAAAATACTGCAACGACAAAACAAAAGAAACTTGCTGTTTCCATTGACATGTTTTAGTCCCTTTTGCCTTTGCAAAGAAATAAAATTGATTTGCAAATTGGGACAGCAAAATTGCTTCTTTTACCTGCTTCTTCAGGGGGAGTGGAAGGTGCTGTTGTGGTTTTTAAACTGTCTTGACTTTTACTTTGGGTTGCATGTTGAACTGTGCAGCATCCAGCTGGCAGGAGAGCACACAGAGGCTTTGGCTGCTCTCTCTCCACTGGGGTCAAACTGCTGTAGGACGTGGTCATTGTTACTTCATCATGTGCATTATATGAGTCACATTTAACAAGATCATCTGTAAAAACAACAACAATATTGCGTTACATCTAAACAATCCCTATGTATCATTTGTGCACCAACAAGCTTAGGCCTACTTGGACCCTGATTACCATAGAAACAACAATAACTGATTAAACTAAAATAAAACAAATTACAACTCCAGACCTGTGTGCAGTGTCGTGTTGTCAGATGACACCAACTCGTCCTCTTGTTTGGTGTTATCAGCTTCTTTAAGTGGCAGCAACTCCATCATTCATCTCTAAATAAAATTATCAATATCTTCGTAATGAATTAAATTTTTAGAAATGTCATCAATATTGTTATCATTAAAGTAAAGATTAGTTGTGTTGTGGTTGTGGTTATGCGGCTATGACTGGACATCTTGATAATGGCTGAGAAATTAATCTATTATTAATTTCCATTTCAGAAGCGTTGATACAAAAGCAAAAAGGATATACTTACATTTAATGGACAGCTCTGATGGATGATTTGATTCATTCATAATTAATATTTAGCCTATAGGTCACACTTACTCTGTGAACACAATGTTCAAGCACAGACATTTGATCCAATGTATGATTATATTCATTTAGATATAAGGTAGAGGTTTGTTTTGTTTGACATTATTCACATCATAATTAATAGGTAATATTAAGTAACGGGAAATGTACCTACTTTTCATAGTGGAGCAGGTAGATTTCAGAACAGACACTCCAAAATGGTTTGATGTCAAAAAGATCTATCGTCCTTCAGTCCCAACACTTACAGTAATGGACATAACTGCATCAGTCTGCCTTTCTATCAGAAGACTGTGTATGTGTGTGTGTGTGTGTGTATGTGCGCGTATATGTGTGTGTGTGTGTGTGTGTGTGTGTATATATATATGTGTGTGCAGCAGTTTAGCCCTTAAAAACCACAGAACAATTACCTATTTTAAATCACATTGAAATCTACATTACCATTCTACATAATACACAATTCTCATATTTGATAATAATTTATTTATTATTAATAATAATCAAAATCATAAATATATAATGTATGATATAAACTTGGCATATGTCACTGAATGTGACATATGCCAAGTCAATGCCAAGCCATTGTTTGTTATAATATTGATGATTATGGTTGTGTTTGTGATTAAATAATCAAACAGGTAATCAAGGAAGCCACTTTTAATGATCTTCACTCAAGATGTCAGTACACAATTTATCCCCACCTTTTTATAACGCCACCATGTGGTTCACTCCAGTATAACTACTGATGAAAACAATTATGGCTTACGGTCCATTTCTTTTTTAGGTTACAGCTGAGAGCCAATTATCATCATTAGAATAAATAAAGGCTTGATATTACTAACTTTGGGTGTAATGAGTCTGTAATTTATTAGTTTCATAGTTTAAGTAAATGGACTCAGTTCTAACTTTATCCTTACAACCTTATAAGTTATGTGTAGAATGGAACAGGTGTTTGTCAAATAATATGGTAATCAACTGGTTGTTTTTTGTTTGTTTTTATGCTGCATGGACTTGGACATGTGAAAACACCATCCATTTTTCCATTTTCTACCCTTTAATCCATTTCTGGGTCAGGGGGGTGGCAATCAGAGATGCCACCCAAGTCTCATAGCACCAGCCCCTCACTGACCCTCTGCAGGTGGTGAGTCCACAGGAGGACGGCTGCTCTCTGAGTGTGAGCATAGCCTTGATCTTTCAGTGGGGGCTTTGGGCAAAGTGGGGTTAAGTGTCTTGCCCAAGGACACAACGACAGCAGTCATCATGTGAAAACACACATTATGGAAATTAACCAAATGAAATATGAATTTGGTTTGAAATGTTCCACAACCATTTTTAACACACTGATTTAAAAAAACATTGAAAGAGAGAAGACTATCAAGGATTTTTACTGAAGACACAATTTGATCCTAAACTGTTATTGATGCCGTGTTTAAAGGTTATTTGTATATTTTATCTAAGACCATAAACCGTACATGATCTATTTACAGTCTATGATCCGGCCCATGGTCCAGATATATGTCTATGCAGGGCCCAAAAGACTCAAATCCAGTTCACTTTTTTAATCATCATGAAAATAAATCCTTGGTTAAAATATAAGTAACGGTGTGTCTTCGTCATTATGATCATCACCAAACAGAGGTGGCGCCATTGAACTGAGAGGGCAGTCGCTCTGACCAATCAGCGCAGTGAGCTGAGCCCCGGATGTTAGCTGCTTTGGCTAACAATAATTGCGATCATAAACATTACAGCTTTAGGGGTTTAAATACTCTTGTTCTGGACTTGGTGATCTTTATCCTCTTTTGAAGATGGTAAGAGCTGTATCCAGAGAGCAGTCCATGGGGCCATGGTCTGATACATTTGCGCTTGTTTTGTATTAACTAAAACTGGGTATTATTTACTAATCTGTTGTTGTTTGTCAAGTAATTGATGCATTTATTTGTAAATATGTTTTAAGAACAGGTATTGTTTATTTGGCAGCCCTGGATGTGTAATCTAACGTTATGTTATCTAGTGGATCAACACCATCTGCGGTTATTATGAGTTAAGACTTGTCATGAACGTTAGATTGAAAACACAACTTTATAAAATCATGATGTATTAGATAATGGTACATTCACACTGTCCTTACTTCAATACTATAATCAAAACTTATTTTGTTTCGATAAGACATTTATGACAGTGATAATATCCGATTTGAATCATGTATGTGTGAACTAACATTACCAGTAAATTCTGTTACAGGACAGTGAAATGTCTGATGTGGAACATGGACCTGGATCGCGTAATAATTATTTGCAAGGGGAGAATGCACCGCTCTACTGTATCTGCCGGAAACCTGACATCAATTGTTTCATGATGTATGTTTCATTAGTTTCTTGCATAATCTACATGGTTGTTGTAACGTATGTACTCTCCGTTTAATTACAGTGGATGTGATAACTGCAACGAATGGTTCCATGGACACTGCATAAACATTACAGAGAAACAGGCCAAAGCAATCCGTCAGTGGTATTGCATGAAATGCAGAGGTAACTACAGCTAGTACAAAATATTATTTTGTATTTTCCGTTGAGTTACACATGTTTTCTGCCACCAGATGAAAATTCTTATTTGGAAATAAAGTTCCGATCCAAGAAAAATCGTGACAAAGAAATAGATTATGACAACAGGTCAGACAAACAGTACAGCACTCCAAGTACTCCTGACTACAGGCTGGAAAGACGACGTGGGTCCAAAGTGAGTATTTTGAATTATGAATGTTAATATGATAAGCTACGTTAAACATACATAAACATAATGATCTAGGTAAAGCGATCCGTACGCATGTGTGGTGAATGTGAGCCGTGCCGAAGGACAGAAGATTGTGCTCAGTGTGACTTCTGCAAGGATATGAAGAAGTTTGGAGGCCCTAACAAAATCAGACAGAAGTGCAGGTTTCGCCAATGTGAAGTGCGAGCCAGAGTAAGAAACATTTGTTGAATTGTTTGGTTGAACAGCGAGTCGTGAGCCTTCAATGATTTTAAACTCTTGCACTAGAAAATGCTGCGTGTGAAAGAAGAGGAAATGTCTTTAAGAGAAAGAAGAGAGAATTCCCATCACAGAAGACGTCATTACTCTGATGATTATGACAGTGAGGTGGATCTGTACCAACGATACAAAGCATCAGGAAAATATGATGAGATGGTAACAGATGGGTTTCAAAAAATATTTGGTGCAAGGAATGCATCTTTATAAGACTTAATTCCTCAGGCATGGGCCACTGATGACGATGATGATGAGCCACCTTTTAGTCCTGTGATGCGTAAAAAAGCGGTCAAAGTCAAGCATGTTAAGAGAAGAGAAAAGAAAATTGACAAGAAGGTACCACCTTTTGATTGTTTTACATAATTTTTAATTTCCTTGGTCCAAGCACTGTTCTTGCCCGGCCATAGAAAGAGTCTCGACGCCACAAGCAGAAACAGAAGCATAAGGATCGCAGCAGGCACAGTGAAAGAGGAGAAAGGGGAGATAATGGTGGTCAGCGGCAATGTCTTGGCCCCAACTGTGTAGAGGCATCAAGACCCAACTCCAAATATTGCTCTGAGGATTGTGGCATGAAGCTGGCTGCAAAGTAAGTTATGCTTATATTCATTTTATGAATATAGTGATTCACCCTATACATGTAAAATAATTTAAAAAGACAATGCAAGGTTTACTCCCAGTGGTAAATCATGGGACTACAGATAAAACAAATACAATAACAATATATCAAACGCTCTTAGTCCGAATGCAGTGTGTTGTGACCATTACTTATTACAAGCATGTTATTTTGGATGAAAACACATGTTGAAGAACTCGCATTTTTAACATCTATTCATGCCTTTTCTCCTATCCCTAAACCCAACCTGAGCATAAATGCCCAGACTTGAACATATTTACATTATATCTAAGAACAGAGGGAGACTCATTTGTGTTACTTAAAAAGTAAATTCAGCTCTTTAGTTAAATGTCATCTGTAAATAAGTAAATACTAAAATCATGTGCATTGTGCAATACTGCAACTTCAGAATGTCCACTGAACAATGTCACTTTACTTTATCTACTTATTATCCTGCCCTATATGCACTGTATATATATAATTTTTTTTACTGGTATTGAAGCATTTACAGCTAGTTAAGAAACGTAGCTTCTACTTATTTTTTATATTTTGTGTGCTCCCTGTGTGTTCTTACTACTATCCTGTTTGTTAGGGTTAGGGTTAGTTACCCATTGTATATTTAATGCTATCCCTTTTGGTTACACAATAGATTGGGTCTATGTCTCTAGTGAACTTGTGCCATATAAACAGCTGAATATTTCTTCTACCTTCTAGTCGAATTTATGAAATCCTGCCGCAGAGAATCCAGCAGTGGCAGCAAAGCCCATGTATTGCAGAGGAACACGGAAAGAAGCAGTTGGAGCGTATCCGCAAAGAGCAGCAGAATGCTCGGCTGCGTCTCACTGAAATGGAACGTCGATTTCATGAACTGGAAGGAATCATTGCCAAAGCCAAACAGCAGGCGGTGCAGCAAGACGAAGAGGTAGACAGTCTGCCTTATTAATGTTGTAATGTTTATGAAATGCTTTATTAAAAAACTATTTGAAAACTCTTTAAGACAAATGAAGGGGACAGTGAGGACACAGACCTACAGATATTCTGCGTCTCATGTAGCCATCCAGTGAATCCAAAAGTGGCATTGAGACACATGGAACGATGTTATGCAAAGGTTAGTACTAGTAATTAACAAAAAGGAATCTTTTGAATTATATTGTTTTGTCAACATTTTTACAGTATGAGAGTCAAACATCATTTGGTTCCATATACCCCACGAGAATTGAAGGGTAAGAATTGTAAAATGTGTTTGAGTATCTGAATGTTGTTTATCTTAAAGAGGAGAAAACTGAGGCACTCAATGGCTAGAGAAAAAGTTAAAAAGCCTTTATTAATACATTGCTAAGTAAAAAGTAAAAAAACGCCAGTGCGTTTTGGCCTCTTGGCCTCGTTTATCTTAATCTAATATCTTTGTTACAGTGCGACCAGACTGTTTTGTGATGTGTACAATCCACAAAGCAAGACCTATTGTAAACGGCTTCAAGTGCTGTGCCCAGAACATTCAAGGGACCCGAAGGTTTGTAAATGAGGATAGACGTCTATTATGTATTTGTTTTTTGTTTACATTTTCCCTCCTTAATGTCCAGGTGTCAGTTGATGAAGTCTGTGGATGTCCTCTTGTTAAAAATGTCTTTGAGTTAACCGGCGACTATTGCAGAGTCTCAAAAAGAAAATGCAACAAACATTATAACTGGGAAAAACTCAGAAGAGCTGAAGTAGACTTGGAGCGTGTGAGAGTGGTAAGTTAGCTCTGATTGTTTGATTCTCCATATACATTTGACTAAATATTCTTAACGTACGCCTGTATTCTAACCCGACAGTGGTACAAGTTGGATGAACTCTTCGAACAAGAACGAAATGTAAGAACGGCGATGACCAACAGAGCTGGCCTGCTGGCCTTAATGCTGCACCAGACAATCCAACATGACCCTCTGACTACTGACCTCCGCAGTATTAAGGACAGATAGGAGTGCTTATTGTGAGCAGTGTTATAATAATCATTAAATATTTTTTACAAATATCTTTATATTGGTATCAACTTGTAAGATTTGAGTAGATGTAAGTAAATATTTGCATAATTCAGTTCTGTTTTGGATGATTGAATAAACAATTATGAATCAAAGTTAATTTTTTTTTTTTTTTTTTTACTTCTATTTCTAAAGCAGGACTTTACATTGTGATAATCAGTGTTACAAAAGGATATTTTTGGCTTCTGGTTTATATTGGCAATATATTTTACAGAGAGTTACTCAACTGCTTTTTTTGGTCAATATTTCTATATACAATTATTTATAATGGGTCCATTCTGTGGACTCACCACCTGCATGAGGATCAGTGAGGGGCTGGTGCTCTGAATTGAGTGGCAGCTCGGATTGGCACTCCCTGACCCAGAAATGGACTAAGGATGGATGTATTATGTGTGTATTTTTTCCTGAAATATTACATTTAATGGCAATACACTGTGGACTTCGATTAGCATTGGAATTATGAACTGGCCCGATGCAAGAATTCAGGTAAACTTTTTTTTCATATTTTGTGGTTTTCCAAGCAAATGAATATTATCTCCATGGAAACAACCCGGCAATGCACCGTAAGATAAAGCCAACATGGCATATTTTGTTACATGCATGGCCAGAGCAGACCATCCATAGAGCAGACCATAGACCCATGGAGCAGACATAATCCTTTTCACTCTGTTTCCATTGCACTTTTTCTTAATATTGGTGTTTTTTATATTACACTTTTTTCTCTCTGTGGAAACTTGGTTTCATGCTCATCGTTTGCACCTGTAGTTTTTTATTTATCTTTATTTTTTATCATGGAGAGATATTGGTTTAATATTATTTGAATTTAGTTTGGATAATCTTTCCTGGTAGATACTTCAGAATAAAATGTATGTTTAGATAGAACAAAAATTGGACCAAAGGTACTGTGTCAGCGTTTCATGTTTACAGTTGTTTCTTGAGCTTTGGAATGATTTATAAAATGACATGATATTCTAAAGCATCACCACCAATGCTTGCCAATTAATCATAACAATAATTGAAAATAATTACTGGGGGGACTAACGCAAAAGTTGTTAGAGTTAGAGTAAAAATAGAGAAAAATAGAAATAGAGAAAAGCATCAACCATAAAATAAAGAATATTTCTAGCCTTTGCTTAAATCCTCTCCCGTTTACCGCCTGTGTAACATTTAGCTTAGCATATCTAATTTGATTACTGATCATATACATTTGTTTTCCGCAATCAAAACACTGACACCCTGTTCGCTTCTCCTGGTCTGCTGCTGGCTGTCTGATGAGGGCGGTGTGTTTACATGTGGCACTAGCATTTCTCTGCGCTGTGCTCAGATGAACGGCACGGACCAGTCTGATTGGTGTGACTGGAAAGATCTTTTGCTTCCTTCCGCTGTTCGCTCTTAATTGCGTGCTATCTCGTTAGCCGCATTAGCTTATCCAACAAACTATTGACCGGGATGTAAACATTTATATACTTTAAAGGTATGTAACTGTCTTCTAAATGTGGGATTATAATCCGACTACTAAACTATGGGAATTGCGGCATGTGTGACAATGAAGGGGTGCTTTTTTCGCCTCCAAAGCTAGCTTAATCTCTTGGCTAGTCATGCACGAATGGATGAAGCGGCTAGTCGTGGCTAAGGGATTACAACTCGGAAAAGGAGGCACTGTGTAATGTTTTTGACCATAATATGAAGCAAATACCGCACAATAACGATGATGCACACAGTTTCATATGCTTTTTTCTGGACTTTGCTTTAATTCGTTATTTATTGCTGTTTAACAATTGCGGCTATGCTGTGATGCTAACGTGTTACCATTAGCTGTCTATATTTACCTTCCCATGACACATTTTTTAAAGTGATTTTCTTCCAATTTGTGTTTTTTTTTGCCAGGTTATAAAATGCTCGCCCCGGCCTCTGCTATTACTCAGGGTTGGTTTAGAGTGAAATTTAATGAAGAAGATGGAGGAGTATTTACAATGAAGATATACACCTCATAGGTGGTTAAATGGGATGCCTGATTGGTTATATTGATCTGATTATTAGTGGAGCAACTTTAGAATTAATATTTTGCATTGATGGAGGAGGAAAAGCCAACGAGCCCAACCCATGATGCCGAGCAGCCTGCTGTTAAGGAGCAGGCTGAACCATGCTCAGAGGCAAAAATCCATGAGCAGCAGACGGAGGAAGACATGGCCTCCAAAGCACAGACAGAGGATGATGAGTCGGTCAAGGCAGGGGCTGGAGAGGACGAGTCTTCCAAAGCCAAGGTTGGAGAGGACGAGGCTGCCAAAGTTGAGACTACAGAGGACAAGTCTGAAGAGACAAAGGAGCCCATGGACTGGTTTGAGCCATTGGAGGACGATGACGATGATGCCAATAGCTTTGATTTTTCCGCCGTCTTGGGTCAAAAAGAAGCAGAGGAAGAAAGCTTGGCAGGGGAAAGTGAAAAAAGCGGAAGTGTGGCAGGCAGTGAGAAGGCCCGAAAAGGATACAAACGGAATGTGTAAGTTGATCCTGACGTGAGCTACAGGAGCTGTAGATTTTGGATTTATCCATTGATTGTAGTTTTCAATATGTTTATTTATACGCTGTTGTCCAGAGGGCGACCGAGGGGATCTAGGCAATCGAATGCGATCGACGATGACTGGGAAGACTGTCCCTCTTTGGGAGAAGGATGGAAGCGGAAAGAACGTGTTCGTCAGAGTGGAACAAGAACGGGACAAAGTGATGTTTATTACATGAGGTAACTTTTATTGTGTGTAATGCACTAAAACATACATTTCCAATTGATTATAGATTCAATGTATTCATATAAAAAATATAAATGTATTTTATTTTTGTTAATACAAAAATGGTTGCGCAAATGACAACCTTTTTAGAGATTAACCACACTTTAGAAAGATCATTTCATAGTTGGTAGAACCAACTATTAAATCATGTAACAAGTTATTTGATTAAGATAAGTATAAGTTAGAACTTTATTGATCCCCCCCCAATTGGAGAAATGTACATGTTACATCCAAGCATTGGCCTTTGCGCCTGAAGGTCTTGAGTTCGATTCCCACCATGGGACCTACCCCAACTGCTCCCACTGATGACTGCTGTCGTTGTGTCCTTGGGCAAGACACTTAACCCCACATTGCCTGAAGCTCCCCGCTGAAAGATCAAGGCTGTTTCACAATTGACGGAGCAGCCATCTTCCTGTGGACTCACCCCCTGCAGAAGATCAGCGAGGGACTGGTGCTATGAGCGTTGGGTGGCAGCTCACATTGCCACCCCCCCAACCCAGAAATGGACAAAGGGGTTGAAAATGAAATGAAATGAAATGAAACATGTTACATTGGCTTCAATAAGATCACTCACGGTGTCCAAATAGACAGGAAATATGAAAACAGGAAATGTTAGTTTTAAGTAAAGTTAAAATATATTAATAAATATATTGAATATCTTGCGTACAGTTACATCTTATGTACAATTCAAATGTGACTTAATCATTGCAACTGACAGCTAACGCATTAATCAATAGTTTTTTTTAGCCTTGCATTGACTTTAAAGTGATTGTCTGGAATTTGTCAGAAGAAAAATAGGTACATGATTTGAATAAAACGACCCAAGCTCCCTCCCCCTTCCTTTCTGATTGTTACGGAAACGTAGGAGTAGACCAATCAACACATTTAAATGTTAATTGGAGAATACATTATACATATACATTATTAATTCACATGCACGGAGGTTTTCAAAATTATTTTTTGACGTTTACATGACAAAAATGTTGTTCTATATAATATAATATAATATAATAAGACTATAATGCAGGAATGAATGAACGTGTGTTTGAATTATTTGAATATTAATTATAATTATTTTGTAATCTATAAATCATCTCTCAGGTGCTGTCCAGTATTAAGAATTTGTAAAGTCAGATTATTCAAAAGAAAAAAAACAAATCCCCTATAAAAAATATTCATTACTTGCAGACCTAGTCTTTTGGTTTATAGAATGTAATGATACTTTAATGAATCTAACTTATCTTGCAGCCCACGAGGTGAAAGAGCCCGTAGTCGCATAGAACTGGCCATTATGCTGAAGCGTGATTTGAGCAGTTTTGAATTCAAAACAGGAGTGTTCCACATGAATGGTGAACAAAAATTGACATTACAAAGACGAAAGGTGAGAAAATCTTGCATTTACATTGCTACTAGCATCAAGTTCTTCATTCTCTCTTCTGCTCTTTAGAGAAAGCGGCGTGACCATTCGTCGTCTGATTCCAGTTTTGTTGAGAGGGAAGGAGCAGAAACGCCAGATTCTCATCACAGACTCACTCCCACTTTGGCATCCAAGCCGGTCGCTACACATCAGGCCGCTTCTGCCACAAACAGCCCAACAACCCTTCAAATTAAGAAAGAACGCACCACCTACTCTCCAAAAGAGACTATGAAGCCACCGGATGGTAAAATAAAACTTCCAGGCCCAACATCAACATCGTCAAAGCCTCTTTCTTTGCCGTCCGTTAATGGAGAGTTTGGGTCCGAGGACAGCACGCTGTAAGTCCTCTGTGGATGAATGTTTGTGCTTTTATTATGCCTTGAACTGTTTTGAACAATTGTATTATTTTGTCCAAAGACTTTGTGCAAGGTGCGGCCTCATGTTTACTGGAACATGGTATGATAAACAGCGGAAAAAGCCTCTCTGTCCTTCATGCTGGTGTAAGTTTGTGAGACATATTCACATTTCAAGTTATACAAACGTCCATCAACTAACTTTGATTTGCTTTTTATAGCATCAAAGACAAAAGAGCATCCCATGATTCGTTTTCGAAAGGTGCATTTCTTGACTTTCTTTTGTGTTCTTGCGATGTTGTGTTTTGATGTGTGTATTTGTATGGACAGTGGATTCCATGTGGACAATGTGCAGGATGCCACAACAAGGTGAACTGCGGTCAGTGCACCAACTGTAAGGAGCGGTCACCTGAAAACCGTAAACGGACGTGTAGGAAGAGGAAATGTGTATGTCCTATCCGCAAGGTAGATTTAAGTTTGAGTCTTGACAAAGTCTGATTTGATGAGGTTCTTTTTGTAGCATAAACGTTTGTATCTTTGTTTAGGGCCCTGGAGGATTCGTTATGCCAAAGCCAAAAAGTGACCCGCCGTCAGAAAGCTCTGTGAGTCGTCCTTTTAGGATGTGGATCTCTATTATACAGTCCAGTTTTTAATGATCTCACAATTTGTTTTACAGCAGGATTATTCCTTAAACCAGGTATATATATATTTCATATATTGACTCATATATTGATGAGTTTGTGCAATCACAAACTCATTCTCTTTTGTGTTCATATTTGATCGCAGCCGATAGTCGATATTAAAACCAGTGATATAGAAAACTTGATCACCCCTCTGGAAATGGATGACGACGACGATGCGTCAACAGACGAGGATGAGGAAGAAGTGAGTATTTACTGCAAGCCATAATTGTAGCCATTGAAAAGTACTAAAAGTAGTACTAACGTGTTATATAATGTACAATGATCTTTGGATCGCCTTTCCTTCTTTGACTTTTTCATGAATACTGCCTTACAAAGGAAAAACGGAATTTATAAGAAAATAATCTCTTCTGTGGTGACAATTTCAACAGATTTTTCCTGTTTTTGAAAAATATCCATGTTCATTTTATGAACATTATGAAACCAGGGCTAAAATGATTCTGGATGAATTGTGATGCATCAAAAGAAAACTCATCTAAATGTTATTAGTGTAACTGATAATCACTGGTGGAAACATGTTTTGGGCAGAATAGAGTATTATTTATCCGATGAATTATGGAACATCTTGCTGTTGTGCATCCAGCGCATTAAAGCAGTCCCAGGTTCAATGTTTAAACAGATTTGTTTGTATAGGAATGTGGTCTCTGTATTTATCACTTGCCGTTCTTCATACTGTATGTCCAGGTCATACTTTATTTTTCTCCATAGTTTCCCCATCTTGTCATGTAATTCCATGTGTTTAGGTAGTGCTTGTAGACAAAGAGCAGAGCAGGAAAACAAGAAATACCAGGGAAAGTTGCAAGATAACTGGAAGTGAGAGGGTGAGTAATGATAGAGCTCCAGATGGACACCATCCAAATAGACATGGTATACAACAGTGTAGGCTTTTGTGATCTAGCCATGTGGATTTAGAAATTTAGGGGGGCTTATCTCTTTTTTTAGAAGTCGTCATAGCAACCACAACATGTCTTGTGTCGCATTCACAAGACACAGGACCATTGCAACATCGTATCATTCTCAGTATCATTTTTTACTATATTTTGGTCAATTCTCAAGTAGAGAGTAGAGAAAGCCAATGGCAAGAAGAGAACGGGCAAATTAAAATTGATACCTTTAAAAAAAAAAATGCTGTCACCAAGGCGCTTAAAAATTAGAACAAGGAGAGATTTATTTTCCATGATCTATGTGTGACCTACAGCGCTGTAAGGTTAACACATACCCATCAAGACTATTGTGGTAAGAATTGTATATATATAGAATAATCTGTCACTATCAGTCCTTATCTGCTGCAGGGACTGTTAGGTTTGTGAATAATATAATATAATCCCAATCGTTCACCCATTCAACACAGAATGATACAAAACAGTAATAAATTTGTTTCAAAAGAAGGGAAGAAACTGAGGTGACTACTGGACTTGTGTTTTCACAGCTCAGATAAAATATTTCACCCTAGGAACACCATACAAAGTCCTAAGGGAATCTAACACCACTTAAATTGTGTAAACACGGCCTTAGATTTCACACTGGATAACATTAGCCCATTTGAATTCCTTCGATGAGCAGTCACTTCACTAATGGGAGTGGCACATGTGGTTTAAGTGTGACTTGATGTTGGACAAAACAAAATACAATAAAAATGTATATGTATGTTTAGCGCAAGAGGCGGAAGCGACGCTCCTGTGGAGAATGTCGAGCATGTCTGTACACCGAAGACTGTGGGACCTGTGATTTTTGTATAGACAAGCCTAAGTTTGGTGGCAGCAACAAAAAACGACAGAAGTGTCGACTACGGCAATGCCAAAGGCAGGCAATGGTATGAATTTGTATTTGAGCTTCTTGTCTTTCTTTGAAATAACAATCTTTTTTATGTAGAGACACTTGCTGCCTGGGTCCCAGCTTGGGCCACCGTCGGATGGGTTTACAACTGTAACCAGATCAAAACCACAACACACCTACAGTCGAAAAAAGAAAAGAGTTTTACCACCAAGTGAAGAGGAGGAGGACGACAGAAACTCGGTAAATGTTCATTACATCTGTTTGCGTGTTACAAAGACCAGTTTAGAACAATTATACTGGACTTCAAGGTTAGTTTGGCAATAAATCTGCCATCATTGGAGATTAAATTAGGTTCAATATTACAAACTAAAATGGCATCTCTACAATAGATTGTTTCTTCAAATTATTACTGCTTTAGAGTTGATTACACACAGTTTGGGGGTCCTTGCATTAGTGGTTATATGTTGAGGATCATAGGGAAATATTTTAGTTTAACAGGATAGGATTGGATAATAACTTGTTTTTCATTCTATCCGTAGAACTGGAGTGCTGAAAATGCCAGTAGCAGTAAGGCTACTCCTAAACATAATGTCCGGAAAAACACATCTATGCAGGCAAGGAGGCGATGTGAATCTGGTTTGTGGTAGTTCTCGGCAATTATTTAATGAGTATTCCTCTTCTAACAGTTAAATAATTCAGTGTTTGAAGAGCAGAATGGAGTGACAAGTGATGATAACTTTAATCAGGTAAGGTCACTGATGCTGATTGGAGCCTATGTTTAGGTCTATATTACTTGCACAATTTCCAACATTTTTATTTTTTCCTTAACATTTACATTGTCAAAAGCAGATGGAAACCGTGCCGTCGTTTATAAGCTTTTCTCAATTCCAAGCACCGGTAGAAGATGTTGAAGAGGACGACTATCCTACGGTATGGTTAGCATTTGTGTAACAATGTCCAGTTGAGGATGCCTCACGTGGTGTGTGTTCTTCAGATTACACAAATCTACAGTTTGGCGGATGAACCAGAACCCAGTGACATGAACAAGGAGAACGACCTTATGAAGTTGTTGACCTCGTTGCGCGCCTCTGCTCTGCCGATCCTGTGGTATGCAATCATGGCGGACGGGCCGCAGATCCAGCTGGTGCAGTGTTCCAAGCGCTCTGTCATGGCGGACACCACCGTGCTCATCAACTCTGACTTTAACTACAAGGTCCTGGTGCAGAGACACCCGCTGCTGGCCACACACCCTCTGTATGACACCCACCCCTCACTACTGAACTGTGTCACACATGTGGTCAACCTGCTCTTGGACCTGGACAAATACTTCATATGTCATGGTGTACCCCCTAATGACGCAGTACTCAGCAGAAGCCCAGTGGTACTACAGCGCGCTCCCACCTGCCACTTCTTGACGAAAAAGAATTGCACAATTTGTAGAAACTGTAAACTGCTGTGTGATTGAACGTCAAGAAGTGAGAAGTGATTCATTGATTTGTAGATTTGTACCGTTTCCTTTTATACAAATGTTGTGGTTCTGGAATTTCTCAAGAGCTGTGACTATTAAATGCAAGCATATATTTTTGTCAGATCTCAGTGTTTGGGACGTGTGATGTCAGAGGGCTGCTTTTAGACTACTATTTGTGGAGTTATCGACGCTTTTACTTGAGGAAATGGTCATCTTTTTTTATTTAATATAAATTCCCAGCGTAACCACTTCCTTTTATTTATGTTTCCTACATATCGGTAGCACCTTCCCCCTCATCATTTTATTAACGGCACTCTTTAAAGCTTTAAAAAGAAGTGATCACATATTGGTGTCATATTTACTTTGTCTAAATGTAAGTTAAACTTGATTTATAATAACCCATTGGTTACAATGAACTAATTACTGTGCAGTCTGAATTCCTTTCAAGCTCTGTAAATGTGTCTTTACTTGTTGATGAATTAAAATTCATAGTATTTAAACTTAAATGGAATGTCAGGTACTTGACATCCATGAGTCAATACTTTACACATCATAAAGGGATTTAAGTATGAGCTTGTCCTCAAGTAAATGTGTAGTTCTATTGTTCAGATGTTTGGGATGGAAAATATTGTGTTTTATAATTTTTTATGGAAAAGTTGTATTGTTTGAAATAACAAATTTCTATCGTCTCAATGCGTTGTTTTCATAAAAAAGTTCTGAGATTTTGTACCGAAGTGTGTTTCAGTATTTTCAATCTTCAGGAAACAACATTGTCAAGTCTCTTGGTATTATGTTCTATGGTAATTGGATATTTCTGACCACAGGATGCCACTACCGCTAACTGACTATGTGCATATGTAGAGAATCTAACTAGTTTATTATTTAATACAAAATTACAGTCAAAATCCTGATTTCTATAACTGACAGTATTGATGGATCTATTTTAAGAACCTATAACTTATAGATCTATTTTTTCATGTACTGTATGGTTCTGTGCCCATTAATTCTCCCTCTGCACACTGGATTTGTTAAACATAACAAACCCAATTTCGATACTAATAAAAAAAGAAAAACTATTCCAATTTGGATGCTATAATAGATCCGCAGATGCTATAATACAGGGTTGTCAAAGTCATTTTGGTCAGGGGCCGAGCAACAAAAAAATAGGCATTCTTTTGGCGAATAGCGAAAAGCGAATAAATGTAGTTGTTTTTTACGTTATGAAGGTATTTTGACATATTATTTGTCATGAAATGTGTTTATTTTTTGGATTTAACAGGAACTGGACCAAATATAGAATTAAACATTGTTTTCTATACTTCTAATCATGTATTGGGTTAAGTCCATTTAGTCCATTACCATCAATGCTGCAAGTTAATATTGATAACTGAACATCTGGAAATTAGTCTGGATTTGGACTAGGAGCCTGAGTTTGACATGCCTGCTAAAATAGATTCATAGATATTAAATACTAAAATAGATTCATAGATATTGGAAGCTAAAAGAGATCCATAGATATTAAATACTAAAATAGATTCATAGATATTGGAAGCTAAAAGAGATCTATAGATATTAAATACTAAAAAAGATTCATAGATATTGGAAGCTAAAAGAGATCCATAGATATTAAATACTAGAATAGATTCATAGATATTGGAAGCTAAAAGAGATCCATAGATATTAAATAGTAAAATAGATTCATAGATATTGGAAGCTAAAAGAGATCTATAGATATTAAATGCTAGAATAGATCCATGGGTATGCGCGGTGCACTCCAGGCGCACATCTGGGAGGGGCGGTGTTGTGACAGGGGTAAACGGGAGTCTGCTCAAAGGTGCAGAGACTCCTGAAGCCGCGGAGATGCGCAGAGCTCACTCCACACGTCGCCGCTGCCGCTGAACCCGACCACCAGCCTCAGAATACGGCCATAAACTTACGCATCTCTGTCTGTCTCTATCTCTCTCTCTTTTTTCCTCTTTCTCGTCCTCCGCAAATGAGCCATCCAGCGGGAATCCTCCACAGCACCGCGGCGTCGTCTCTCCTCCACCGCTCGCCTGGGCTTTGTCACCGAGGACCGTGAAGACCTTGGAGAGCCTCGGTCATGTCTTGTGGTAAGCGTGTGTGTGTGCAGTGCCATGAAAGAGCCGTGTTGGGAAGAAATATATGACATTTCAGTGATAACAACAGTCAAAAGAGGCCATGTGCGCGGTTTAGGGGTGCTGGTCGTGTCCCCGCATACTAATGCTCCCACGGTCTGTCTGGTCTGGCACACCTGTGATCTGGACTCTTCTTTAAATATATTTATAATGCACTGTTTTTGTATTTGCATTGGGACATACACACGCCTATGGTGCGGCTGTATAAGGGCAGGCTGCAGAAAACGCCACTGGATCCTATGATAACAGCACATTCAACATATACATATTGATAACTGCTGGTATTTACGTGTCAGCCCTGATAATGTAACCGAATGCATAGACAGACCATTGCATTCGTATCCCGTGCTTATAGCGTCGTCCTGGCTTTTTCTATTTTATTATTTCTTCCCAAAATCCTTGTCTTGCTCCCTTATATTTCTGTAATGGATGTGCAAACTGGCCAGATGTATTCTAGTGGGCCAGTAGTAGCCTTCTGGGTGTTGATGCAAGAACCTTTGATGTACGTGGGAAATACCTCACTGTTTTCTCAAGAGATTTTTATCTTTGATCTGAAATACTGCCGATTGTTCGAGTTTTGTTCTTATAATGTTACTGCAGGCGTTTGATGGGACGGATCCAGTTGTCAGCAATTTTATTTGATTCAGCCACATGTTTGTTTTGACATGTTCACATACATAGGGTTTGGTGGTAGTAGTAGTAGTAGTAGTATTTTAGTATGCTCTGGTATAATTCAAGTACCACTCTATTGGCCATGATGCACTATTCGTCAATCAAAATACTAAATGCTGCTGTACTATACGATTATTTTTAAATGTTTTTTTCCCCAAACAAACTTAAGTGATGCCTATGGAGAGACGACTTGTTACACTTTGGGTTGTTCGATTAAAATGCACTGTAAACGCATCTGATTTCATTACACATTCTGCATTATAGAATTAACTGAGTCATGAAACCTCTTCTCAGCAAGTTTGAGTCTATAAGTTCAGATATTTTCTCAGTTACTAAATTAGTTGATTACTATTTCAATAATCTATTACTTTGTTATCAACCCTAACATTTTTAAATGGGGTACAGCTTTATAGGCTTGGCATGAGAAATCAATGAAATCTGTGTTTTGCCAGAAAACCCCAAACTCTGCAGCCTGGGCCATGCTGAAGGCAGGCTCTATGAAAGATGATAAGACCATTTAGTGCCAAGGATTTGCTCTTGAATACCCCCACCTGAATAACCCCGGTAAGACGCATGAAGGGCTTAAGACCATCACCTGATCCTGCTCTGGCTCTCTCATGTGGCTCCCATCCCATATCTATAAAAAGTGGATTTATACCATGTTCATATGCCAAGAGGAAGAGCTAATGGTCCTGACTGACCAGCCGCAGTCCTGACCAGCCTGTCCCATGGCCTTGGTTTATTTGACACAGAACACAAGTATATAAACCAGAGAGCTATTGTGATCCACCTGGTCTGTGCACACGTGAGGGGGGGGGTCTGTAATATAGATAGGAATGTAGCAGGAAGGATTATTTCTTTAGCTTTTCTTTTGCTCTGATACACCTGCAGGGATATCAAAATGTGTTTTCATGTTTCACTAAGGCTCTAATCTATACGGAGCTGGTCTGGAATCGCTTACAAAGACCTTGGGATATTCAGAGCCAGATACAACCCGGTTTTTATGAGTCACGATGTACTGACAACATAAACTTACTGTATGTGGACACACACTAATAAGCTGAATCTCTGCTGTTCAGAAAGTCCAACATGGAGACTTTTTTTCTTTCTGAACAAGATGATTTAGACAGTGCGCAGAAATATATCATAATTAGAACATTTGAATATTAGGCCGAGGTAAAACTCGTCCAAGTATTTTGAAAACTTTAAAAAGTTCATTTATCTCTCTAATTCAACTTAAAATTTGATATAAGCTGCATATATATTTTTTCTTCTTTATTTTGGTGTTTTTAAATGCAGTGAGACAAATAAAAGGGGTGATTTATCTCACTCTGTGCGTAATGATAAGTTGAATTATGGAAGTAAATGGACTTTTGAAAAATGTTCTAGTTAGAGTTTTGTGTGTTTTGCATTGAATTTTTAAATAGTTGACTTCTTTAGTTAACCAATTGAACCTTACATAGACTTTAACATGCAGAGAAAAAGGTGTGATCATTTTATAATGACTGCAGCCCAATGTGTAACAAGTCACCTCTACAGATATTCTTCAGGGACTTCACTTGAGCTTTGTTGTGATCAAATGTATGAAAAATCACATTCTTAACGATTAAGTAATTAATCAAAAGCTAACTAATCAATTATAAAACAATCAATGAGTTGGTAATAATAAATAATAAAACAATAATACATGATCACAGCCCTAAATATCAGTCAATTCATTACCACTACACGCTCGTGTCATTTTAGGGCTAGAGTCATGTTTTTTCATCTGCAGAGTCATGTTTTTTCATCTGCAGAGTCATGTTATTTCTCTTTCATCTCTTTCATTGCCTCCTCCTCAGAAACACCAACAGAATACTGCTGTCTTGATAATTCAGATAATAGCGATGACAAAGTCTGACAATGTTGACTGTTGAAGTTGAAGTTGTGTAAAACATGTTAGTTTGTGGTTGTAACTCCAGACAGTCGCAGCTGTGTCAACAGTTGTGGACAAGTGACACCTGTTGGACTGATGTATGTCCAGCTGCTCTCAGCCCACAACTGTTACTGCGGTAACCGTGGATACATCCTGCTATAACTGTACTTATACAAAATGCGTGTTTTGAATAGTCCCGCTCTTCTCATTGATTTCATGGAAGACCGCTGATTATTCTTTTGATAAATGGATTATTTCTTTAGATCCATAAAGTTCAGACTTTCATTCAGACTTATACTACTTATATTTGACCTTTACTTAGAAACTTTGTCCATACCCTCATGCTGCTAACATACACATGTATACATACAACAATATATTTGTCACCCGACAATATACACTATTTTATACTCGCTACTTATTATGCTAGAGCTAGAGATGTTTCACTTGCTTCTGTATTATGCTAAAGTTAGAGTTTTATTGTATTTTATTTCAGATTAAACATCTGCAGTCATTTCAGAAAGATCAAAGTCCTAAAAACCTCTTCTCAACATGTTTAAGTTTAAAAAAATTATGAATCAACAATATGAATAATTGATCAGTTAGGTGCGATCGATTCATTTGTAATCATACGTGTGTGAGAATATAAACGCTGCCAAGAAAAATCTATTTAAATGTTTATTTATTTCTGTCCTCTGTGTCAATCATCATATTCGCAAAGAAAAAGAGGTTTCCCAAAAGCATTGTCTCTCTGTCTTGGACTCTTTGATCCAAAAGAGGCTCAGCTGTCTTACTGTGCGTCCATTATATTGTGCGTCCATTGTATTGTGCGTCCATTGTATTGTGCGTCCATTACATTGTCGCTCACACATGGTTGAAATAACCCTAACCCGAGAAAAGGTGACAGCTGAGAGCGTGTATTTGTTCCAAATCTGAAAGGCATGAGTTTGTCAGGGAGCGCAAAGCGGAAGAGAAAACTGTTGCCTTGAGGAATATAAGAGTGTAACAACTGCTGTGATCAAATATGCCTCCGAGAAGCGGCCGCAGCACACGCTACAAGAGGACCAGGCTCACGGCGTCAGGCCTGAATATTAAGTGCTCTTCCCATTTGCATGTTAACAGATATTGGCCTTGTGGCAGAGGGCGGAGCTCCAAACATGACGCAACATGTTGGTGCTTTGATTTGCAGTAAATGTCAGCGTATAAATATCAGTCAATATATATGTAAATATCAATATATATAAGCAAATATATAGATATAGATATGGATAAAAGTGGAAGAGTCATGGTACTGCTACATTAGTACTTCTGGGAGTACAGTAATGTTTGAGCAGAGCTGATGCCTGTATGACTTTAATTATCTATTCTGTGTTAACTGTGATTACTGCTTTATTGTTATAGTGTCACAATATTATTGTTTTATTCACTAGATTCTATAAAGGTTCACTTCAGGAGACAACACATAATCACCTTTAGATTAGTGTTTGCATCGAGTAGAAGTCTATTGTAAGTATTACCTTGTGTGATCTTATATTATGTTTACAACAGGAAGCACCATTACTCTGTTTGTCGACAGGACCTTATACGGCCAAGAGCATTCCTAAGCGGCTCCACAACCTTTTGGCCGCAGCTGCCCAGTGACTGTCCACAAACATGGATGCCAAATGTCCACTTTCTTTTTACTCTCTAAGTCACGGCTTTGTTTGCGGCTGAGTACAATCAGCTTTCCAAGTGAAAGTCCTTACCTACCTTTCAAGTCAGAACAAAAGGGCAAGTTAGTCACCTTTGAAGTAGTAATTCTGCAGATGATCCGTTTCTACTTTAAATCAGACTTTTACCATATTTTGACCACATCCTTTTGTCATAAAAGTATTGAACAAATGCATAAATAAGATTGCTTTGGCCTTGAGATAACCATAACATTACTGACTTATACTGCATACTTTTGTATAATTGCACAAAAAGTATAAAGTAAACAACAGGCCTGATAAACAATATTTTGGGTAATCATTTAGTAAGATTATTTGCATGATTAATCGATTAGCTGTACAGACCACAAAAGGCAAATGAATGAAAAGGATAAGTCACTGTGACGATGCATGCAGCACACAGTGAATTATGTTGGTGGTTTTCACACAATTGTATGACATTAGAAACGATACCATTATATATTTTGGACAAGTCCTGAATGGAGAATTTATTTGTACTTCCATCTTTAGACATCTCATCGTCTTTTTAAATGACAGAATAATCATTGATGAGTTTTAATGTTCCCGTTGCCTAACCACGGCCAATCTATGCATCATATCTAGTTTGCACCTTTATAAGTAAAAAACAAGAGTGTTATTATTTTGTGTGGATTTTATGT